GACTACGAATGTTTTAAAATCACAACCCTCAAGCATCTAAATATTATATATGAGTCTAGCTGTTGTTGTTAATACCGAGAAAATAAAACCAGTTTTTAGTGGTATATGTTGTTATAGTAGCAGCAGAAACACTTTGTGAAAATTTCGAAAACTGTCTAATGACACACAGACGGTAAAAAATTTTTTTTAGTATTATTAATACACACAGATAATAAACCAATATTATTAATAATAAAATACCACGTCTTTACTTTAAATTATGCAAAGTAACAAAACACACATGCACCGAAGTTTTAACACAAGCGTAAGTAGGTAGGTACCCACCGTATCATGATTCATTCAGAACCGCATATAACTCCCTATTTCACTCGTCTCAATAACTTTCCGTTACTCTATTTGCTTTATTTATTCATCCAAACACCTTTTTTTTCGTGAGATAAAAGGAAATACTTATCCATTAAAAAGACACACATTATGTACCTACCTACTAGTAAGTAAAATTATTTTATAGTCTTACCTTTCAGAGTTTCCAGGTAATTTAAAAAAACTTATGTCTGGATGCGTTATTGACGAATTCATACAACCAAAAACAGCACAATATTTCCTACTCGTCATATTAACTGATTTTTAGAGAAAAAATCGCGCGGTTATTGTTAAAAAAACAACACACAGTCCGTTCGACACTGCGGTACAGCCGTGACTGTCTGCGCCCCGAGCGCACCCCGAGATCGAGGCGCGTAGGTATAGCTCGCGTTTCGTCCGTTTGTATTAAGTTGGAGTACTGTATTATAATAGTACCGTGCTACGACATAGAGCAACAAAGGCCACCGGGCGACCTGGAGTTGCTCTATGACCGATACTGATTTTAGTCCAGTCATTTAAGCTTAAATTAGGTAAGAATCTCAGAATTCGAGATACCCAGCTGTAAATACTGGTATATTGACACCCTAAAAGTTGTCTCAAAACCTACATATGGTAGGGTGTAAGCAACTATTAAATTTCAAGGTCAAAGGTCACAAAAATCGATTTTTTTGCTCTTTTTTTGGAAAACGTTTTCTATGGTTTTTTTGCTATTTATATTTATTATCAATATTGTAGAATACAAAATTCTCTACAAATTTTGTTTAAAAAAATTTTTATACGGTGAACCGTTTTCGAGATAGAGGGCGGAGAGCGCGCGGTCACAGCATCACTTCAGGTCAACCGGTGCCTCCGGTCGAAAACGCGCCATATATAGTTGATGAACTATCGATAAATCAATGATTAAAATATTTGTCAATTTTTATTCTTTGTTATTTTATATATTTTATACTTTGAAAAACTTATGAATGAAGAGAATGAATGGAGTGGAGTGCTGAAAGATGTGGATGTGGATGTCGGACTGGTGAATGAGATTAGTATAAATAAAGTGAGATTGGCAGTACGAAGTATGAAAAATGGAAAGCATTTGGCTCTGACGGTATACCAGTGGAAGTTCAGGCTGACTCTATTGTTCAATAGGTTGTTGCATGAAGAGATAATCCCAAATAAATAGTGAGAAACTCTAGAATAGTAGAAATATTTCGTTCAATGTACAGAGAGTCTAGCACTCATGTATGGTCGATCACGGGAAACACTGATCAATTCGGTGTCTCTGTAGGCTTACACAAGGCATCGGCTCTGAGCCCATACCTCTTCCTGTTGATAATGGATGCTCTGGTGTCGCACATACAGAAGGAGGCACTTTGGTGCATGCTGTTTGCGGATGACATTGTGTTGGTTGGTGAAGACGGGAGTGAGGTCCAGAGTAAATGAAAAAATGACAGCATAGGCTGGAGAATCTTGGCTAGAAAATCACAAGAACCAAAACTGAGTACATGTCCTGTGATTTCGGCGGTCTCTCTAGTCCTGAAAACATTTCACTGGATGGGTTAGCGATAACAGTCTTCTCATATTTCAAGTACCTCGGCTCCCTCTTAGAATATGATGGTGAGATCGATCGAACTGTACAGCATCGAATCAATGCGGGATGGATGAAGTGGAGGCAGGTAACGTGGACATTTTGTGACCATAGTTTACCCTTAACACTGAAAGTACTGAATGAGGATAAAACTATCATCAGACCTGCCATCCTGTTTGGATCTGAAAGTTGGACCATTAAGACAACGAATGAGAGATACCTGAACAAGGTTAGGTTAGGTAAAAGGTTATCTTGGCATGGACATGTCAAGCGGCAGGATGAGAAAAATGTGTCCAAGAAAGTGTTAAGTTTGGAAGTTGAAGGGCACAAGATAGCCAAAGAAAAAGTGGATGATGAGTGAGGATATGGCAAGATAATGATAGAGTAGAATGGAAGAATCATACTTACTGCGCTGACCTCAAATAAAATTGAGATAAGGGTATAAGGGATGATGATAATTGCATTCAAAATAAATTTATATTTTTGGGCTTAATGACCTTTTTAGATTATTGAAATTTATTACTACCCTTAAAATTAAATTTAATAGTAAACGTTAAATTTAATTGTCACCGTGGATCGTTGGATTATCACTAATGAAGTATAAACTACCTACATCTGAACTAGAGACGTGATGGTCTAGAAAATTGACAATTCTTGCGAATCGGTTCTAAACCGAACCCTTAAAATTGCAGTGAACCGCGGCTTGAACCGGTTTGAATCGTATGATGAGTTCACCACCGAATGTAACATGCAAAAGCAATGTGTAACATGATTCATTGGAATCATTAATCCGTCTTGTAGTGTAAAACTTGTCATTATCTACACTAACCGACGATCATCGTGGCGACTGTATGAATTGATTGGTAGTTGATTGAGAGCTAAGGGCAATACAACAAACTACCGAGGTAAGTGCATGGTAATCGTGTACGATTACCATGCTTACTTATTTTGTCATTTGGTGGATATAAGAACAATATGTTCGTTAGATCCCTACGGTTAGTAAATCGGTTTATGTATTAAATTCTTGTTAAACGACCGCGTTAACCGTATCCAATTTTGTAGGAACATAATAATATAGTTTGTGCTTGTAGTTAAATTGATAAAGATTTAGTGTCGTGTGGCTTCGACTCGGTTGAGAATCAGTTGGTAAATAAATCAGTTTTTTGCGGTACGACGCGAAGTGCAGTGCGATCTTATGACACGGCTCGACCGGTTTAAACCACAGACAAACCGATTCAACTCGGTTCATGCTCAAACCGGTATGAAAAGTCGAGTCGTCCACCACTAATCTAAACTAATACGTATACTAGGTATAATAATTCGATTCCACATTTGACATTAGCTACTGTCATTTTATAAAATAATGATACCACATATAATAGTGTAGTGATGAATACAAAAATCGATAAACAGTCACGATTTATGCTTATGTATTCATAATATTGTTGTGCCAATTAAAGACTAAATCATTGATTTTTAATTAAATAAATACATAATTATTCTTAATAATTATTTATTAATTGGTAACAGCTGCTTTGTTTTATAAAAAGTTAATATTTTTGTTTTTTATATTGAAAACAAAACTTATAATAAAAGAGCCTAGATAGTTTTCTGTATTGGCAACCCGTGCGCGCTCGTGCTATATCTCTCTTATCTTGTCATTCGGCTTCATTCTCACAGTCTGACTTCACGAATATCTTGTTTCATTGCGAATCGATATTTTGTTAAAGTTTTGTTACGTTGTGTTTGTTGTTACGTTTATAGTTTTTTGTGAACTTTGAGTGAATCTATTTGTTTTGGTTTTCCATCAAAATGGATCCTCAGCCAAGTACATCACAAAAAGACGTGGATGTTTTCTTGTCCTCAAGAAAAAAACGTCCACGAAAAGCTTTCACTGTTACTGAAAAAGTAATGATCCGCAACGTCTACAAGTACGTGAAATAATGAAACTTCTGCGCAATTGGAGGCCTTCGAAGTTGTAGAAGAAAATGAATGTATGAGCAAAGTTGCTGACATATTGGGAATAACCTCACGCTCTGTTTGTAACGTTTTGAAGGAAGGAAATAAAGGAAATAAACGGCACCAAAAATGAGCTGGAAAAAAGCTGCCATTCAAGACTCTCTTTTAAATAAAAATATTCATTACGAACCAGATATGGTTAAAGCTACGCTTTTAGAACTGATTCCACATAACGAGTCTTTTAATAAGTACGCTGTAGACGAAAAGACAGCACAACATGGGATCACGGTCTTAAGACTGCCCTTACCATTGCGAGCTGAACCCTATCGAATTGATATGGGCGCAGGTAAAGGGGCATGTAGCTCAAAATAATAAAACCTTTAAATTGACAGACGTGCGAAATTTATTTGAGGAGGGCACTCAAAAAATTACGGCTACCGAATGATCTAAATCCGTATCCCATGTTGTCAAAGAAGAGGAAAAAATGAGTTGGCTAGATATGTTAATTGACAATATTACAGACACATTTATAATAAATGTTACAGAAAGTGACAGCGATAGCGATAGCGATGACGGCGACGATTTATAAAATAAAATATTACCATAATACATCTATTTGTTTTATTTCTCATGTTCCTTCATGATCACATTTTTTTATATATTTCACACAATTATTACAGAAAACTCTCAGATCCTTAATAAAATTAATCGTTATAACTAAATTATCCGTTCAGAAATATTTAATTTCCTGATATACTTAGTTTCTATTAAAGTAGTAGTTGTTTAGATATACTACTATAAACGGGAGGAATCGATCCGGAAATATTCCATTTCCGTATCGAATAATTTCGCAACGTCACTATTTATTACTGTCATAACGTTGCAACACTGAAATTGTCAAATCTGGAATCGAATTAAAAGGTATACTATAACGCAACACATTTAAGTGTTTATGGTGACAGATTAAGAGATATGTACATAGTAATTATAGTGTTCATAGTAGTACAACGAATTCGTATTATTAAACATTGTAGAGGATATCTAATACGATTCTTGACCCTTGTGTACTGAAAATATTAAAAAGAAGTTTAATCTCAGTAACATGAATATGCAACAAAGAGAAGAAAAGCAATTGGAGACTACTATCCAGGCGATATTAAATAGAGTTAACGATTTGAAGTCAGCAATTCAGGCACTCGTATCGAAATTAGAGAATGAATATGAAACTATAAATTGGCCCACATTTCTTGACAATTATGCTATTTTATCTGGACATGTAAGTACTATGTTAGTTATTTTAAATAAGAATGGATGTTTACATAAATAAATACTTCTTAAGAGGCTACAATCAATTTTTTCAAACTTTTAAACTTCCTGTCTTTATATTGACTTATTACAAGTGGCCATGTCCACTTGACATCATCTATCAGTTGGCCTTTTTTAATACCACTGGAAGACAAAGAATGTACAAATTTCTTTGCCAATCAGTGATATAAAAAGGTGTATACTGTGTGCTACCTTGTTCAAGATAAAAGCAACTTTTATTATTATTGATTTTTTAAAGGAAATAAAGGCTACTTGACTTGTCTCTTATACAAATATGCATATGTAGTAAAGGTAAATCAGTACCTACATGTTTGATCAGATGCTATATTTTTTAAATACTGAACACTGAAAGCAATACAAAGATTTTCTCTAAGAAGTTTTCTCCCTGATCAGGGCTTGGGTATCTATAATAGTAAGATATGTATATACTAATAATTGAAAGTTTTTTTAATAGTTAACAGGATTAAGTAAAATACTGCAAGCTGAACTTGCAGCATCATTAAGGTCAAGAATTGTCTTACCTTTACAATTAAGTTGTGAGAGAGATGAGGCATTGGCACGCTTATCAGAAGGACGTGTTCCCGCATGTACCCATGATTTAGTACCAGACCTGTTACGTACTAAGCCTGAACCACAAGCAGAACAAAGGCTACAACAGTTTAACCACAAAGCCAGTACCCTAAGTTATGATACTGCTCAGGTAAATAAACTCACACATAAGTACTTATATTGGAGATGAAACAGATATTGGACTGTATATATTGCTGTAAAGTTAATTGATATTTTTTTTTAAATAAAACAATGTATAATATGTTTCTGTACCTCCTGTGAAAAGTGATACAAGTAAAAAATCAATACTCTACAGGAGAACAAAAACAAGATTTAAAAGTTGTAGTTTGCGATTAAGGTGGGCTAGGGTAAATTTGAGTACCTACCTTCTTTTGTAGATAAAAATATTCACTTTAACAGAACATTTAATTTTTTGTGGTAAATATTATACATTTAAAATAAATCTTAAAAAACCTGTGAGTTGTACCTTTTTATTTCTAATACATGTTCAAATTAATACTTTACAGACACATAAGTCATACAAGTTCAGTTAAACTTTGTTGCACCTAAAAGCTGTCTACGTGTAAATTAATATTTAATAAGTACAAATAACTCTATAGAATATGTTTGTAGCGAAAATTTGTGCAAAGAAATGATAAAAATACTACCCCTAATGAGATTTTTTTTACTTTTCAATTCCCTGACCATTTATGACAATTATGAAATGAAAAGGTGATCGGAATGAATTGAAGCCGAACTTTTCTTTCGAAAATTGGCCTTTTGATATTTGGCGACTGATTTCTACAAATTAGCAATAAAATTTGGGCGAAAACAGATCTTCCCTAGGTGCTCTTGTTTTTGAGATATATGCAGGGCCACTTATAATCGCTTATAACTTTTAAACCAGTGACCGACAAATTCTGATATTCGGCGATAAATTTTTGTATTATTACGGTTCCGTACCTCAAAAGGTAAAAAAGGAACCTAGCAAGTTGAAATTTATACCAGATACTGAGGTCTATGGTCCCTATTAGGTGTATAAAAATCAAGGCCCTGAGTCAACACGATAAAAAGATATGGGCAAATTTCCTTAATTTTCAACTTTTTTTATTTTCAGAATTTTCTCTTTACTTGTGCTGTAAGACCTTGCTTTTAACCAATATTGACAATTCTAGGTCAACCGGAAGAACCCTATAGGTTTTGGGTCGAAAACCTTTATGGTAGTTCCCGTTGACCTAGAATCACGAAACGTCTTACAACAAACCAAATAAAGGAATAATTACAAAAAATAAAAGAAGTTGAAAATTAAGATAAATTTTGGTACTTACAAATTTTCGCGAAAATCTACGTAAAATCTGGGTAGGTACGTAACCCTGGGCGCACGAGTTCGACTCGTACCTGACCGGTTTTTTTTTTTAAATTAGAAGCCATGATGGTAGCCAAGCCAGTGTCAGTGACACGCAATAAACTTAGAAATCGAAGATAAAATACAAAGGGTTTTTTTTTAATATACGACAGACGGGCCCGAAAATTTTTCACGGATAAATCCGACTTGGGCTTATTAAAAGGTTAATCCTAATAATATTGCATTGATTAGTTACATACATTTAAAGAGATGAGCAGACTTCTCATTCATCTAAATATGAGTGCTGTCTCTAAATAAAACTGGGGGTCCGGCAGGAAATTGAGGATTAACTGATCAGTGAATATTTTTATTTTATAGAAACAAGTGGCACAATTCACTAAAGTCGTAAGCCATGTATGGGAAATAATATCAAAAGGTCGCGAAGACTGGGATGGAGATTCAATGCGTTCAGCTGGTGAGTGATCTTAATATTATCCTGAAAATAACTTTATCTATTGTTAATGCATGAAATCTGAAAAAAACTGAAAATCTTTTGTTCGACATCCGAGATACAGCTTTCACTGATATTGTAATAACTTGCTGGACTGCTAATAAATATTATTATTCTCTTTATTAAATTATATATACATATTGATTACATTTTAAATATATTACAAAAGAAAAAAATACATTTAAAAATATTAAAAATAGTAGACCACCGACATCAAGGACCAAGTTGCCCCCTGATAAAAGATTTGTGCTTTTTTCAGGCGGCAAAAAAAGCGTTTCTGCAACGTTTCTTTCATGTCAGGTTCTGGTATTCCCAAAGACTGTAATATACCTAGATACTTGTAAGTTTCAGTGGCAGACAGAGATCTGAGTTTTGTTAAATCTGAAAGCTCTATTCCTTCAGATTCTACTATCACGCCCTTCTTTACATACATGACTGCACACTTGTCTACCCCAAATTCCATTTTGATAGAATTAATAAAGTTTTCCGTCACCTTTAACGTTGTAACACTCAATTGTAATTTAGTAAAGCATCCATATAAAGAAGGTGAGATTATTATTATTACCATTAAATACATTTAAATTCATAATTAACTGGCCTATATCACTTCACTGATAAAATTCTAAGATACAAGGGACCTTTGAGGTGATGGACTGCGTACGCAAACATCATCAGACCATTTAGGTGACTTCTTTTCCCAGGCTTTCTTATTTGCAAAGCTATCAAGCAAATTCAGAGGTAAGAGTATTTCCTACTCTTAGCTAAAGAAACTAACCTCCTGTGCTGGTACCAACCAGTATTACAGTTTAATACAACAGTATAATAATAACAGACACTTGCCACTTTAAAAAGTAGCAAGCGTTTGAATCTCCCGAAAACCGCGACGCGTACATGACTGCAAAGCGCACCACGGGGAGCTGTACCCAGAGCCGGCAGTGGCCACTTACAACCTCTCTAAGTTACGAGTCCTCTGAGGGGCAGAAGCTGATCTATAAAGTTGGCGCGCTCCAGGATATTGCCAAGTGCCACGGTGTGAAAGATCCTGGGGGCAGCCTCTGTTAAGCGAAGATCTCGCGGTGATAATCATCAATAAAAGACGCTTTTATCTTCATCATTAGGGATCACTTAACGCATTTTGACTCCATATCAAATAAGTCTCGATAATTGTAATTTCCATTTTAGGTATGCAACCAACGCATAGTATGACAGACACTCATGCTTTAGTGACAGCTGTAGGAACCGGCAAAGGACTGCGTCCTGGTATTCCTTCAATAGTTCCATCAGGAGTAGGTGCTCCTGGAATGGGGCAATCACGGGGACCTGCTCCTCAACTCGGCCAAGCCACACCTTCATTACCCAAAGCACCATCTGCTATTAAAACTAACATCAAAGCAGCTAATCAAATACACCCTTACCAGCGTTAATATGTAATTTATGAAAATAAATGAAATATATAAACTTGTTGTTTTATTAGTCCTTTATTTAGAAGTATAATTATCCACTATAATATAATACTAGTTATTTTTATTGAGAAAACCTATGCTTATTAAATGCAATCATTTATAAACACAAGTGACTTCAAGTATAAATAACAATCATGTTGCTTGCACGTTTAAAAACACATATGGTATATTATTATTTCAAAAGTATGTATCCAGTACATTTAGCCATTTAACATAAAAGTTACTCTATAGATTGAGACAAAATTATGTGCAAGTTTAGAAAGCAAATTTTATAAATTTTTATTCTTGTTACTATCTCATTGCTAGTTTATAAAACCATTAGTTCAATGTGTTAACCTGCAACAAAAAAAAAACAAATAAGTATCTGGTAAAAATAATAAAACCTTTACTCTCATCCTTTGCTCGCTACAGCAGTAATTTAATAAGTAAAGCTGGAGAATATGTTTCATTCGTCATCATCTGTAGGACTACTGGACGGATTTTAAAAGTATTTGCTGTGTTTACTCGATTTATTCTCGAAGGTGATTATAGACCATTTGAGAATGAGCTACTAGTATCAGATATTAGAGAGAGGGAAGAACCGTACAATGTCGTCAATCTTGAGTATGGCGCGCACGGTCTCCGTGGAGAGCGCGAGCGCGGAGGCGGTGACGTGGAGCGGCTGCAGCACGTGCTCCTGACGCATGTCGGTGACGCGGCCGCGCCGCACGTTGACGCCGGCGTTCGAGCCCGCGCCGCTCTCCGCGCCCGCCGCGTGCGCCGCGCGCAGCTCCGTCACTGTCTCGATTGGGTTCAACCCTGTAATGGACGATCGGTATTGCATATACTCGTAACTATGACAACACAATATTTTATACCCGGAGCATCATTATCGCTTTTGTCGATAAACGGTATAAGACTAAATATAAGGGTCTTCTGTACAGTTGACGACGTGTGATAAAAACCAATTATAAAATTTTACGTTAATAATAAGTTCCAAGATAGATATTTAAAAAAATGTTGCACAGGCTGCAACATAGTTCTGATTCTTTAAGTTTATTTCACATCGACTCGATCGTCACGGTGACCGCGTTCGGCGTTGTGATCCATGAAGTTTAGTTTCAGAACAAAAATCGAGACTTTTTTTATTCGTCAAGAAAGACAATTGAATTTTTACACCCCCATGAGTATTATATAAGGCTACAGATAAAGTTCTGATGCTATATTTTTTTAAAAGGATAAAAACAAAAAGTTTTAAGAAATGACCTTTATTTTATTTTCCTAGGGACAACACTTTTTATAATTTCAATAAAAAGTTATTATTTTATTATTAAACTATAATAATATTAGGTCTTTACCTATGAAATTGCCGTTTTGTATGCAATAAGTGAAAGTACTTATTTTTCCAAACTTTTTTATTTCTGTTATTCGAAGTAATCACCCATGCAATCGACGCATCTTTGCCAACGCATTGGCAGTTTATTGATGCCCTTCTTGTAGAAATCAGCTGGACGGGAGGAAACAAACTCTTCAAAGGCATTTTGTACTGCCTCTCGGGAATTGAATTTTTTACCCACTAAAAAGTTGTCTTAATTTTGGAAAAAGTAAAAGTCGGTAGGTGCAAGGTCTGGTGGTCACATCTGCAACCAGCTTTGGTCAAACCTATTATAATAAGTTACCAATTTATAATAAATAAGTAATTAAAATGTATGATTACAAAGTTGCAAAGTACTAATTTATACGTAAAATATACTACAAAAAATATGTATAATAATGTGTTTACATTACGCTTAATTATACTTGGTGAACTTCGAGATCCAAAATAAGTTCGTTCACTTTTAAAAGGTCTGGGGTATCTTCATCCAGTGCCTTCTCACTTTTGTTATACGTTTTTCTAAGGCTGGAAATGTATAGATCTGATGTGTGGAGAAGAGTATGAAATGAATGGCATAATTTCAAAATTTTTGGGCATTTATCATTACACCTGATGAAAGAGCTTGTAAAATTATGTACAACCGTTTGATCAAATTTACATTCACCCCTGTGATGTTAGCAGAACAGTCTGCATTGTAAAAAAATCTTCTAGCAGTATTACCGTCATTGGTATTACCACTTACTTGTCGTGGTTTGTCGATGATCAATCCTAGCTCCTTACGAAAACGTTTTTTGACTAGAGTTTTCTTTTCTTGCTTCTGTTGTTTCTTTTCTTCACTTGTGGCTGACCAAGTTTGAAAAGAGATGTTGTATGAAATATGTAATATCATTTCCATAACACGAATCCAGGCGTGCAATGTAGAAAGCCCGTATTGATTTTAATTTTCATTTTCTGGCCTAGCAGTCACTTTAGTCAGATCTTTCATTTGCAGTGGAGTAGCTCCACAAATTGTACATGTGGAACCAGAAGGTGTATTCGTTAATACTTGAGCTACTTTGCCATCTACCATTGTCATAAAGAGTTCATGCTTCACATTCACTCCTTCACCTTCTTTATTAATCAACGATGGCCCCAAGGAAATGATTTGGTTCTTTTTCATCCAGAACAGCTTTAGTTTCTTGAGGAGTTTCTTGGCAAAATTCTATTGATATAGGCCGACAATAACGGATTGACGAAGGCACTGAATGTTGAGACAATATCGCCCGTTATCTCATTCATTAATTTGATAAGCACTAAAGATGTAATAAACAAATTAGCATCAGAAACAAGTTCAGACTCCTCTGGAAGTTTTTGTTTGTACTGACTTTGACCAGAACCATCACATCCCCATTTACTGTATAAAACTAAATGGCTCAATCCATTCTTATACACCGAATCTATTGCCAAAATTCTAGCTGCAGTGTGGTCCAATAAATATTGAAGATTTAGTATTTTTGCATGTGTATTTGTAGTTTCTACTGCTGAAGATGGTGGATAACATCTTTGTTTGATTTGTTCGTTAGTTAAATTCCTTCATCATCAACAGCATTTAACAGTCAACTGATGGACATAAGCCTCTCCTTAGAAATTCCTTAATTACATATATTGTGCTTGCGTTAAATCTAAATCAATGAAAACACTTAATGCCTCTTGATCCATTAGCATTTTGCTCTGGCTTGCGTTATCTATAAGATTCAAATATAGAGACTTTATATCACTAGCAGCAAGCCTTAACGTTTCCATGAGTTTAGCTTTTATTCCTTCTCCTATTGAATGTAATCTCTGAACAAAGGCATTGTAAATATGTTCAAGATCATATTCACTGAGTACCGGGGTATTTTTTCGTCTGTTTCGTTTATTACGAATTGACAGCAGAAACAGCTAATATTTAATAATAATATACATACAATGGGCTTTTTAGAAATGTATAACACTTTATAACTATTCCCACAATTTTTTTAAATAAAATAATTTTAAAATATTGAAGTGAAACAACCTGAAATAGACACTTAAGAATTACACTTTGTGGTTTTAAAAAAATGTATTCCGAATATAAATCATACCAAATCACTACATTATCTTAAAGTTCCTTTCTTTTACTGTTCAATAAACTTTTAAAAGTGCGTCAATAACGATGTTAGTAAACACGATTTTTGATATGCCGTCGTTGTACCGTTTTCCATAGTGCGCCGAACGCCGTAACAGTGACGATCAAGCAGAAGTGAAATAAACTGACACTTGAGCCTCAGTTTACCTAGTAATAATAACATCAGTAACTAAACAATATATATCGACACTAGAGAGATTGAATGGTGATATCCAATTACCTGCATTCTCAGCGAGCGTAGAAGGCACGACCTCGAGCGCGTCCGCGTAGGCGCGCAGGCAGTAGTGGTCGGCGCCGGGCGCGGCGATGGAGGCGCGCGCCAGCGCCGCGGCCGCCGCGGCCTCGGGCGCGCCGCCGCCAGCCACCAGCGCCGGGCGCCGCGCCACGCAGCGCACGGCGCACAGCGCGTCGTGCAGCGAGCGCGCCGCCTCCGCCACCACCGCGCCGCTCGACCCGCGCACCACCACCGACACCGTGCGCCCGCCCGACGCGCACCCGCTCATCTGCCGACGCGATCTTCATTAATCACTACTTCACGATAGAGAACGACCGTGAGAGCTTCATTGCGAAAACTTAACTCGATTATCCTATTTGACGATTGATTCGTTTCTCGTTTACGCCGCATCTCACCCTCTCATTTTATTAAGAAAGAAAGTTATTATTTTTACTGTTGTATGCGTACATAAGTTCAGGTTTGAAAGGGTAAGGGTAATAAAGGGTAGTTCTCATAAAATTCCATTTGACGTATTAGTTAGATAATTTTATACAATTTATGTTTTAAATAATATATCGGCCAAATGACCGCCGCGGCTCTTTTTGCAGACGGTCACCCGCTCACGCCAATTTTCGATGACGCGGTGCACCGTTTCGGCCGGTATGTCGGCTATGGCTCGTCGAATGTTGGTTTTTAGGTCAAGAATTGTAGCTGGATTATTGCTGTACACTTTAGATTTAACGTAACCCCAAAGAAAATAGTCTGAAGGTGTTAAATCACACGATCTTGGTGGCCAACTGATCGGTCCATTTCTCGAAATTAACGACTCATCAAACTTTCCACGCAATAATTCCATGTTCACTCGAGTAATGTGAGGTGGTGCACCGTCTTGTTGAAAATAAAGGTAGTCTGCATCAATATCATCAAATTCCGGAAAGAAATATTCGGTTAACACAGAGTTATAGCGCTCGCCATTCACAGTAACAGGGTTTCCTTCGTCACTTTCAAAGAAATTTTGGACAATTTCCAAGCGTTGGTTTAAAGTGAAACGTGACATGATAAAATGGCAAACCTTACTGAACACAAATGTCAAGAGACGTCAAAGATCCATCATCAAATATGGCCGCTATGAGCTGTCAAAACCAGGTCATTCCTATTGGTAGACCCGATTGATTTCGAGGTATTTTTTAAAGTTATTTAAGAAAATAGATGAAATTGGACCATTACCAAAAAAGACTCAATAGGTTCTTTTTTTCTTATACATTACAGAGAAACCACTAAGAATAACTCATTATTTTGAATGAATGCATATTGTAGTACATATTGTAATAATATCTAAGTCTCATAGTAGCTAAAACATCTTTGTATTTACCTTGATATACTTTCCACCAGGTTCGTTGATCTCTTCCACGAGGTCAACGTTAACAAGGTTTTCAGCAGTGAAATGATCAAGTGAAGCTATCGGTCTACATCCCAGAGTCTTGCAAACAAATTCAATGTCCTCGCGTTCTATGTCCTTTATTACCATGGTTTTGATCTTGTCCAAGAAATGCACGGCTAAATCGCTGAGAGCATCGCTGTAATTGAAAATAAATTGAAATATCTCGCGCAAATTTGGACATTATGTGCCGTAGAAAAAACAATTGGTAATTAGTGATTGCTCCAGATATGAGCTCAACCCTATTAAATGAGTCTAAAAATATAGTATCACGGCGTGTTAACTTGATGATACTTAACTTGATATTATTCGGCGACATACAGGCGGCCATGTTACAAAAAACAAATGGAACTAGTTTCATTTAAAGGTCAGAAAGGAGAGTAAACGTTAATAAAATGTGATTTTTGTGTATGTTTGTCACCTAGAATTTATTCCCCACACTCATCAAGTTAATAATGTTAAATAGTTTTGGTACAAAAAAAAATCAAAGCAATATTTATTTTATTGATTGTTTCTTTTTTTTGGAAAATGTTAATTCGCATTTTTATGACTAAAGAAGTGTTTTACTAGATTAGATCAGGTTTTTTATTATCCTGATCAGTCTATACATAATATTTATTTCTAGTTCAGATCGAATGCTCTTTTTTTTCAATATTATATTATTAAGTTATAATAAAGTCAGCTTTGGGAAGATCACAATACATACCGCAAAATGGATTTTTGAACAAGAAGTACATTGCACCCGGCTTTCTTGATTTGCTTGACGATATTTAAAATGTATTGTCTCTCTTCTTTCAAAACACGATCCATGGCTGCATAGTCTGATACAATCACATTGTGATCCATCTATGACAAAAAGCATTTCCAATACAATAACTATGTATATATTTAGAGAATTACTACTAGCTGAAAACTTGAGTGACATGGGCCCTAATACCTTTATTACGATTAATTTTTTATTTTTAGGAACAGTTTTAGGAAAAGAAACAGATTCAAGAATATACCTACATGGGTCCGGTACAGGTACCAAACAGGACACTAAGATGTATAGACCGCTTTCGTTGTTACCCACAATATAAAAAATAAAATTTTTAATCAATTTTAATTTGAAATCCTGCTTAAGGAAAGATTGATGAGACAATTTGGTTTAAGTAATGTTATCAATCCGAGACATTTTGCGTACTTAAAGGGTTTGGGAACAGTCAATGCTACCAACATTTTTATTAATGACGTAGTCACCAATTTAAATAACAGGCAATAAGATGCGGGAATTTTCCTTGATATGAGCTCCGCTTTTGATGCTGTCAGGCATGCCATATTGATAGAAAAACTGGATCATTATGGCGTGAGAGGTTCAGCGAAACAATTGTTTACTTCCTATCTTAGTAATAGGCACATGCTCGTAGAGATTAAGACAGATAGCTTTGATGAAACTGGGACTGTTCGAACCAAATGTGAAAAGACCTTTAAACCTAAACTAATTAGAGTAAAAACTAGGGTGCCTCAGGTTCTACACACGGCCCTATATTTTTTATCATTTTCATCAATGACCTGATAGGTAATGTAATTAATAAGTCACCGAAACACATAAATCTGACTGTTTTCGCAGATGACACAAACGCTATTATATCAGCTGATAACTTAGAGAACCCAAAACAAAAGAGTTAATGAGGCTTTGGGATATCTCAGTGACTGGGTTACACTGAACTGACTTAAGGCAAATGGAAATAAATCAAACAATCTTGTCCAAATTTACAATTAAAAACTAAGACAGACTCGCTTGTACTCTTAATGGAAATAGATTAGAGACAGTAAATGTAGCTAAATTCTTATGGGTGCATGTCATGCCTTCCAAAGACCAAACCACGACGTCCGATGCGAGGACCAACAGTTGCACGCTGAAGGCGGTACGGTACACGCGAAATTATGTTACTGGCGTGGCCAATGTGGTCCCTGGCACGGGCAGTGTAGCCTGACGGCGACGAGAGGGGCGACGGGACAGCCGTCAGAAGTCTCGCATTAAGCAGAGATATCAACTGGCGGCGGTCAATGCCGAACACCGGCAACCGGACGGCCCGACCCGCAGACGCCGACTTATCGGGAGCGGGTCTTTCTTCTAGATAGGAGATTAGCCACATACCAAGAGTTATCTCTCCATGCGTCCCTCTGTTACGCAGAGGGCACGTGGGAGGGTTACGGCGGAGGACGCCGTCTCATGGGGGCGACGGGATTGCCATCAAAAGTTCCGCATGGAGCAATAGGGAATATGCACGTGACACCAAAATGGACAAAATATTTTTATTTGTAATTTTTATTGCTAAAAAAAAGATACCCATACAATTATTTTTGAAATTTATTATAATTTAATAGTGAAATTTAATCATCAAAAATTGGCTTTTTTAAGACTCCCTCGCAAATTTCTAAAACGCAACGCTATTGGTTGAATAAAACGTAACGTCAACCTACACTGTCAAGAGTGTCAACAAGTTGTGTGTATTTGTAATATTTGGTTTCTGGTGATTATTTGTTTCATTTTAAGTTAATGACTAATACGTTTTCAGTGTTAAATTATTAAATTCCCGTGTAGAAAGACTCAACACAATGACTGAATATACTTTGTCAGGTGCAGTTTTGATATTATTTTGGAACAAAGGAACGGCACAATATTTGTAATAAGTTTTTATTGGCTTTTCCATGGTAATAAGTTAATTTATATCACTCACTTTTTTAACTTTCACAAACTTTGTGAACTCCGTTGTTGACATCGAATTCGTCTGAAAGTGTAATCTGACGTCACAAAAAAAGCGCGCCAAAATGGACGTGTTCAAATTGCCCCAAAATGATAGTGATATTTTTTTTTTTTTTTTGCTTAACGGTTTATATTTCAGATGTGTTATATTTTTTTTTTGGTTATGTAATAACTAGTAGAATCGTTTAAAAAAATAAAAAAATACATGCATATTCCCTATTGCGGCGGGTACTGCCGAACTGCGGCAACCGATCGGCCCAACCCATAAACGCCGAGCAATCGGGAGCGGGGGTCTTCTAAAACGGGGAGCAGGGAGAGAAGGCCGCGAGGAAGAAAACCTCTATAAAAAATTACCTCTAACCCAAGCTGAGGGAGCCCGGTGAAGAGGTTAACGGCTGCGGGGGTATCCCAGCCGCTAGGGCAACAACGCGTTAGCTCACGCTTCAGAGCAAACAATAAAATGGAAGTGACTAGAAAAAAACATGATACCCCAGGAGGATACCACACTATTTTCGTAGGTATACCAATAAACCTAGTCAAAATATAGGAAATAATGAAAATTTCAGTCCATTGATGATTTTTTTTTGGAATTAAATAGAAAATATTTTACATTATTTACACAGTAGTATGTTTGACTACTTACATCGGTTTTAGGTGGCGAAATGCAGAACTGTATAAGTCCAACTTTAGCCTTTTCAATTCTATGGGGGCCGCTTACATTGGCTGCACGATGAGGTATGACTAGACCTTGAACAAGCTCAGTATCTTCAACAGTTCCTCCGATGCGTTCAGTAACTTTAACGTCACGAAGGTCGACACGTGCACCTATTCCTCCTACTATAGGCTCCATTACTGAAAGAGAATTTTTAATATGAGGAGTGGACATATCACTTTTGAGCAATTTTCTAATCTCGTTTTAGATAGCAACATAGGTATATACAAAAGTCCAAATATAAAGGCATTAAATTTCTGTTTCACTGGTTGAGCTTTTGCCAAATTAGCTCTCTTTGTAAGTTTTAATATAATCTAGCAGTGAAACTGTCTAAAAAATATGAGAATATAGTTTACCTGCACGAATAGCTTGAACAGCAATTGGAGCTAATATGGTGGAATGTTGAGACACTACTTTGGAGTTAAGGGATGTAGCAGCTGCTTTCAAGAAAGCATCTTCGTTTGATAAATCTACTGGAGTAGACATACCTTCTACTACCTGTAAAAACAAAAAATTTTTTTTTTGATTTTCATACTACCTTATAAAAATTAATAATTTCATTTAAAATATTTAAACAAAATTAGCTACAGAATTAATTTCTCATTAAAAAGCATTATTTTGTATTATATATATATATATATATTTATATATAATAAAAAATAATGCTTTACAATGAATAAGTTTTACAATACAGAGAAAAAATACATATAAAATACAAAATAACGCTTGAATTTAAATTTATAATAGTAAGGAAGAAGGAGTTTTACACTACCTGTAATGCAAGTTGTAAAGCTTTTTGGAAACCATCAGAAATTACAGTAGGATGAATTCCTTTCTGGAGTAGTTTCTCTGCAGCATCAAGAAGAGCACCAGCAATAACAACCACTGATGTAGTACCATCACCAGCTTCAATATCTTGAGCACGAGATAGTTCCACTAACTGTAAATTGAAATTAATTTACAGTTAGTTAGTAATTAATTAATCATGAACTTGGCGCATAATACAGATAGTTTTGGGTGCATCGAATTCCTGCTAGTGATGGCATAATGTCTTCACATTCATATTTAATTGTGAATTCATAATAGGCAGTTAGCAATTTAATAGTCTATAGTTAAGCAAATAGTTAGCAGTTTAAATAGTCGTGAAATTTCCCTTACTTCGTTAACGCTTCACATTCACACAGCGGCGTGCTTTCTCATTCGCATTAACTTAATTTGACTTTATTTAATAAATTGTTGTGGTAAAATATCAATACAACTGCTAATGCTAAATTACTAAATGAACGAAAAATGAACCGTCTGCTGTTACGTTTAAGTACCTATTTCGCTCGGAACAGTGACCGAGCGTAACGCGATTGATGCTATTTCTGAGCGTGCAAAGGATTTTATTGTTTATTTTATTTTATATTTAAAAAATGCACGTATTTAAGATTGTTTATTGCATAAATATATATCTTTAATATCATCACTTCGCACTGTGAACTCATATTCAATTGTGAATTCACGGGGCACGTGCTTTCACAACGCGAAGACTAAATTAGATATAATAAATCGTCGTGCTAAAAATAGTATTAATACAACTGCTAAATTGCTAAATTTCGCGCGGAACGAATACCGCGCAAGGCGCAATTGATTTAGATTGCAAAGGATTTTACTGTATATTTGCAAGAAATGCACGTATTTAGGATTGTTTATTGCATAAATATGTTTTTAATATTATTAATTGAATTTTTTGCATTAGCAAGTGGCCGGGAGATAAGGTATTGTTTTGAATGCCTTTGTTTTCACGTAGTGTTTTGTTAAATTGATTGGTACCTATATAGTATTTATTAATAAGAAGTTTAATTATAGGGTAGGTATAAGTAATTTAAATTTTGAAGAGTGTGACGTGGTTTTGGGTGCATCGAATTCCTGCTAGTGATGGCATAATGTCTTCACATTCATATTTAATTGTGAATTCATAATTGGCAGTTAGCAATTTAATAGTCTATAGTTAAGCAAATAGTTAGCAGTTTAAATAGTCGTGAAATTTCGTGAACGTATGAATAAATACGTACACGAAATTTCCCTTACTTCGTTAACGCTCCACATTCACACAGCGCGTGCTTTCTCATTCGCATCAACTTAATTTGACTTTATTTTTGAATTGACGAAAGCTAGCATATCGCGGAGTAACTCTGTATAGCATTATTTCTCAAACGAAATTGCAATATTAGCAAAAAATATTAGCATTATCAATTAACATGCTAATACATAAGGATTCGCAATTAATTAAATTAAATCTAATTAGCATTAATGCCCATTACTAATTTCTGCTATATATAATATACATATATGCATAATGTGAATGCTAATAAAATAATTGAGCTCCCTTAAGCCAAACATGAATAACATATGCATGTCATCAGTACGTCAGAGTTTGAGAATAAGGCTTCTTATGTACTGAATTAAACTTTAGTACATAAGAAGCCTTAGAAAACAATAATACACATTTACTGAAAGAACATTCTTAGTTTTTCTGAAACATCTGTATCATAAATTAGAGAACATAATAATTTAACTGGTTTACTTACCATTTTAGCAGCTGGGTGAACAACACTCATTTGTTTTAATATAGTAGCACCATCATTAGTGATAGTAACTTCACCATTGGCAGCTTGGATCTGAAATTTTTAAAGTCCAATAATGTATGGTATGGTAATAATATTTTTGGGACATCTCACATAACACCATCTAGTTTCAAACTAAGCAGAGCTTGTACTACGAAATTCCTAAATTAGTGCATGACTCTTTAATCATGCACTAATTTAGGATATGATTCTTAAATGTAAGATTACAATAATTATCTAGAGCTCAATGTGCCTGTTGACAAAAACCTGCAGACATTTACATTGGTTTCTAAGCCTTACTTTTTTTTGGCGGGGTGGATCTCCTGCTCCTTGGGGATTCAGGAGCCAGGAGTATGTGGTGTTTCCACTAAAAACTACTCCAACGGCCGGCCTCGCGTGTCCTACTATGACCCGGGAGGGCCCGGACCATATTATTTCAGGTCCTCCCCGAATTGACATCATGCCTAATCAGGCACTATCCTAGGATAGGCTCAGGAAACATTCCCCTGGGCTAACCTAGTGATCTTAAGTTCAGATGTCTATTACTTTTACTCTAGAAAGAGCATTCTGTATGAGTTTTACACTTGTTTTCTTGGTTACTTCTCAGATGTGTTCAATTCAACTCCACATCAATTGGTCTATCTCTATTTATGTATCTATGTGATTATTATAATAATGTTGGTATTGTTTTCTAATACTTATTATGCTTAATTCCATGGCTCTCTGAAAGTATTCAGGCATATCTCTAGTGTTTTAAAAGGAACCAAATATCCATAAGTGTGGCAAAGTGTGACACAGTAGTCTTGGGTAGTACACGTACGATGTACTGATAGGTACTAGTACTGGCTATTGTACTAAAAGTAATGTTTCCGAAAGGCAGCTGTTAATCGGACATTTTGCACTATTAGTACACAGTGTCAACTTCAAGCCAGTACTAAAACTATCTATTGTTTACTCTGTGCGACGTACTATTAATGCTCCGCTTTATTGTTCCGTATTGGTAAACAGTGTGAGAGTAAAAGGGACAGCGATACAGGTGTACTACAATACGTTGGGTTGTAAAGTATGAAGGAAAATCAAATAGTATGCTTAAAAATTTAGTGTAAAGTTACCTAAAAAATCTTATTAAAAGTCAAACTGTTAGGGTTTATGGGATTCAGAAAGGGATAACACATTAAAAATAATCAAGAACTGTGTAATTATTTCTATACTGAAGAAAAGTAACTGCCTAATACAAAGTCATCTATATTAAAAAAAAAAACTAAACCTTTTCTTTTAATTATGTATTTAATTATTAGTATTCCGTTTCATTAATTTTGGTAATATCAACTAAAACTGTACTAATAGTACTATTACAGTGTGCTAGTACGTTGTACAAATTGTACTAGTACAGTGCGAACCTGCAGTTGTCCGATTAAGCACAAGACTATGACATAGGTGTTAAACAGTTTCCACCTAATTGTTATACTACATTCAGTGAATAACATCAGTTTTTTTCTGCATACAGTATTGTTTTTATTTCATTGGTAGTTCAATTTTGATGTGTTTTTGTCGTAGATAAGTATGCTTATTTCTGTAAGTAATTGAGGGGATGATGGTAAATATTTCTATTTTTTTTCAGAGCCTTTTAAACTTCTAAGTTTTGACATATTTATCTCAATAAATAACTTTCTTATAGTGAAGTTCATCATCATGTTCTATAGCTGGTTGAGGTTTTCCACAAACAAAGTTATTAGAAATTGGCACTTTCTTTCAGTTTTCATCCATCTATGCATAAATCTTAATAAAATTTACAGTTTGATTCTTACTTTGCTTTTGGTGTTTTTAATAACGTCTATGTAAGCTAGTAATGTAGTATATTCAGATTTAACTTAAATATATTGAAAAAATGAATGAATATATTACCATTTTGTCCATGCCACGAGGGCCCAGGCTTGTACGAATGGCATCAGATACAGCTGCAACATATTCGTCAAATAATAAAAACCATTCCAATAGAACGAAGGCAAAGCATAAGTTAGAATCAGTTTTAAACGGGAACCGGAGTGACAAAATAATCTAATTTTGTTGTAATCTATATCTTTGATAGTAGTTAAATGTTTTGATTTGACAAAGACTTAAAGTTTAGTGATATTACTTGCTATAACGTTAAATATAGTAACCGGTGCACCGTCGCTGAAACCCATAGATTAATTGCGAAGTCACGAGTTTAAAAAAAACAACGTAATTAAAGAATTCTAAATGAAATTAATATTGCCCAAGGCTTGTTTTCGATAAGAAAGTAAAATTAATATGATTTTGAATGACTTACAACTTAAATATTATTACAAAAAAACAATTAAATGTTACAGATGTTCTGTACCTTTTGCGGCATTTATATTGCTGAGCCTAATATCAGCTGGTTTGCTTTTATCTTTGTATACTGCAGAATTAACTTTAGCAGAATCACCACCAGCTTTTGGAGCCATTGTAAACGTTAAATACTTTCAATTGAAATCAACAAGGTGGGAGATTAAAATAGATTTAATTTGAGATCCCAATTGTCGATACTTTGTTTTGTTTCCACCAGATAGGTTTCATTCAAAAGATTTGACACTAACAGTAATGTCAGTTCTGTCATAGGTACCGAAAAAAACTGATTTTTAGGGATATTCCGATACTAATAAATAAGAGTAGGTACTCGATACTTTTGATTCTATACCAAGTATTTATTGTATCGAATCAATTTTGCGATACATAATCGGTATCGAAACAAAAATACTTGGTATCGAATCGAATCAGCAAAACAACCGAATACAATAAAAAAACCGAGAACGCATCATACAGAACTAAGAGAGCAAAAACGAGGCAAAAACAGTCAGCTAATCAGGTTACCGAGTTACCGGTATTCGTCGCGTGGCGGCGTGAGTGACGCGTTGTCTCGCGCTGGGCTAGCCGAATTCGTCCGACTTCAGCCGAGCCCACCCGAGCCGAAAGCGAGAGAAGAAAACACCCGCACCCGCTCGCAAATCATCTCGCCATTCCGCCATTGTGAAAGTGTTAAGTGATTGCTTACAAGTAATTTTATTAATTGTAATCATAAAATTCATCGGTTTATTCCAATGTTATCATGGCACCACCAAAATCTATAATATGGACACATTTTACCAAAACAAACGAAACAATTGCAAAATGTAAACAGTGTTTTAAGTCTGTGAAGTATTGTGGGAATACGTCGAATTTATTCAAGCATTCTAAAACTCATGGAATTTCTGTGGACAAAGGCAAATTACAGAAAAAAGAAAATAATAAGTCCAACGAAAGGTAGGATTCTAAACTTTTCTTTTTTTTTGCGATTGCTTTCCTAAGATGTTAAATAAAAAATCCTACCTACTCCTACCTATTTTATTTGTATAAAAAATAGTTTTGCAGCAATGGTACTGTGATTGTCTTGTCTATATATTAATAATATATGAATAATAATTGATGACCGGTGATGAGATATTTCCTTTGTATAAATACGATTTAAACAATTTAAGGTTATGTGTTTGTTTTTGTTAGTGTAATAGTGTTGTTAAATGGCGGTAGTGTTGGAGTTGGTATTATCGATACTTTGAAGATTATCGATCTATCAAGTGTTAATTTTTGTTATTATGTTTCAGTTCAAAAAATACAATAGTGTTGGCCAACTCAAGGCATTTAATGGAAGATGATCAACCCCAAGCATCAACATCGAAAATTTCAGAAGATCGTGATGATTGCTCTAGTGTAACCACATTAACAAGTATGGACTCGGAGACTGCAAGGGAGCTATGTCTGAGCAATTCAATAAAGAATGCGTTTGAACGAATTTCATCTAATAAAGGTAAATAAATAGATATTTAATTAAATATTAGCAAAATAATATTAATACATATAGTATTAGTGTTAAAGAAAAAAATATAAATATTTAATTTAATATTACATGTATTAAAATTGAGTTTTATTTTTAGCTGGTGGTACGAAGTATAACAGAATTGTTCAAGCATTGATATTTTTTATCTGTCAAGATATGCGTCCATTTAATATAGTTGAAGGTGAAGGCTTTTTACGACTTGTAAAAGAACTGGAGCCTACTTTTAAAGTTCCTGGCGCAAAGTATTTAAAGAAAATGACTACCGAAAAGTACGAAGCTTGTATAACTATTTGTAAGTCCAAATTATCCAAGATAGACAATTTCTGTTTAACGCTGGACATATGGACAGAGACAATGAATGAAGTAGGATTCATGGGCGTCACCATACATTTTGTAGAAAATGGTCAAATGTGTATGTATTATCTTGCAACTCGTGCATTAAGAGAGCGACATACAGCTGAATACATATCGGAAAACCTGCTGGATATTTTGAAAAAATGGAATATTCCACTTACCAAAATTCGTGCTGCTGTATCAGATAATGCCAGTTCAATGTTGGCTGCCATACGAATGTCTTTAGGCGAAAAAAAACATTTACCGTGTTTTGCCCATACTATTAACCTTGTAGTTGAAGAGGCACTAAAGTTGCCCAGTGTTAAATCAGCTGTTATAAAAGTACGAGAAATTGTTAATTGGATAAAAAATAGTGTTGTGCAGTCGGATAAGCTACGAAAAATCCAAATGCGTAATAATGTTTCGGCAGGATCAGTTTTAAAACTTATTGCAGATGTAAGAACTAGGTGGAACTCAACTTTTTTTATGTTAGAGCGATTTCTAAAGTTAAGAATAGTAATATCAGAAATTGTAATTGAGAGTGTAGTGGCTCCAAATTTGCCAAGTGCAGTGGAAATGGAAACCTTGAATGAGCTTACAACTGTATTAAAGCCTTTTGAATATGTAACAAGAGAATCATCGGGCCAAAAGTATGTAACAATCTCCAAAATTATACCAATGCTTAATTGCTTAACTACAGAACTGAATAGTATCACTCCAAACTCCGCTATCGTTAAAGAATGTAAGGATGTTTTATTGAGAGAGCTGAAAAGGAGGTATGGGATGATTGAATTAAACGATCATGCAGCCATTGCAACAATTCTAGACCCAAGGTTTAAAAATCTGCATTTCCAAGACCCCTCTGCATGCGGAAGAGCTATTCAAAAACTTAGAACCATGGTTGTCGGACAACTAAGTAGCCCAAGTGAGTCAGAAGATGATGTCTCATCTACTGCACCACCTGAATACGATTTTTGGAAACATCATAAAGAGTTAGCACATGGGCACAAGAAGAAAAAAAAATCTCATCAGGGAGATGAAGTTTCTCTTTATTTATCAAATCCAGTAGTTTCTCTTAAAAGCAACCCATTTGCAGAATGGGATGACATGAAGTTGGTGTTTCCTTGTCTGTACAAGTATGCACAGCAATATTTAATTGTTGTTGCAACATCAGTTCCTAGCGAGTGCCTTTTTTCCAAAGCCGGTGCAACAATGACACAAACAAGAAACAGATTGTCTTCTAAATACCTTGAACAGTTACTGTTTTTGGGCAATCTTAATGCTGAAAAGTTTTTTGTTTAAATTATAATAAGCCTAATAAACATTTATAATAAATAAATAGTTTTTTTCGTCTCAATTTTGTTTAAATTATTATCCTTCAACGTTCATTGATAGCACCCTCAAAATAATAAAATAAAAGTTCCAAAAAGTATCGATATCAGTAAGTATCGATACTTGAGGAGTACTTATTTGTGTAGTATCGAAAAAAGATTTGAGTATTATCGAAATGAGTAAGTATCGATACTTAGGTGGTATCGGAAAATCCCTACTGATTTTACGCTAAAGCGGCCAGAGACAAGTAACAACGCCATGCTACACGATGATCACAGAGAAAATTAAACTAATGACAATCCAAAAAAGGACATTAAAAAAAGTAACATATCTGTAAACGTTCTAGTACTCAGCAAGTGTTTTTACTTGATACTTATTTATAAATTCTGAAAAAGAAAATGGAGTTTTTCGAGAAAATGTGTATGATAGAGTGAGACATCAAATAAAAGTTTTATAAGGTGATCACGAACATAAATATTTACAATTTATATGACAATTAAAAAAATCCTGTTTATTTTATCTTTAAGACAAAACTGACAATACGTAGGTATCAAGTTATATAGTATCGTTTTCTTTAAAAGAACTAGCCTGAAAAACTGTGTAGATACATACTTAAAACATAATAATATAAAACTAATAAGATATAGATATTTATAAATAATGTGAAACGTATATTTTTAATTATTTAATTAATTACAGGTATTTATTAATAATAAAAGTTCACAATTCTGTAAATAGTATTGTTTAGTGTTAGGGTAAAAAATGTTAGGGTAAAATAGATCTAAGTGGCGTGCAATGGGAGGGGCCTATGTCCAGCAGTGGACTGCGATAGACTAAAGATGAAGTGTTAGGGTTGACTTGGAGTAATAAAGCTTCAGACGACTAAAGAGACTTTATAATCAACACTCGTAAGAACGTTCAAACAACACTGAATAATAGTCCGAAATGATCGCCAAGGTCTCTGGATTACACTTCTATTTAATGGTATCGCTTCGATGTTTATCGAACTGTAGCTAAACTGAACTGTCACCGACGAAGACGTGCCCGTATTTGTAATACTCGCCAGACGCCTAGAAAGCTCTTTACAGCTTATTCTAATCAGTAGTAGAACTTTTGATTTCTGAGAAATGCAAATTCGTTTCAAATGTAAAGAACAAAATTGCGCGACCATCTATTTTCGATCTTTTGTTGATTGTTATAGAACTCATTGTTGCTCCCACCTTGCATTATTATTAGAACTCTTTCTGGAATTGCACAGTTACCTAAACGAATTCTCGTTTCCTTTCTAGAGCCTTCGTTATATTTCGTGACTGTATATCATAGCATTACTCTCTTAGTATAAATGTAATGAACCTTTGTGATGAGAGAAATAAATCATTATTATAGCTAAAAATATTCTGAATCATCAGACTCGCCACCTACTTCTGTAATAAATCTATCGGAAATGTCGCCAACTATATGGCCCAGATAAAATATTTCATCTTCAATCTTAATTGTATTATGAGCTATACAGTCCTTCCACCGCTTTGGGGTCACTTGTCGAAGCCCTTCTTCGAAAAGGGTTCGTACTTCATTCCATTTCAAGTTTTATTATTTTTGGTGAAATGCCCCTCTAATTGAGCTCAGACTATAGATGAAAGCTCGGTTTAAAACTAATTAAACCAATTCGTTTAAAACTGAAATAACTTCATTTTCGATTTAAAACGGTTGGTGGACTATGTTTTTCTTAATTATAAATACATTTTTTTGATTTTACCGAGGTATATGTCGGAGAACCGATAAACTGTGTAAAGATTTTTATATGTGTGATATACTAATATTGATATACTTAGCGGGTTTAGTTCTAGTTGGTCCGACCCACCAAGCGTAGGGATTACCTACCTAAGTTATAAAAACTCTATTGATAAGTTAACAACTATGTATTGGTAAATAACATTTTTTTCATTGTTTTCAAATGATATAAATAATCAATTTGATTCGGTTTAAAACCAAATTCACACTCTAGCACTCACGCGACGGGTAGAAGACATAATGTTGTCTCTTTCATGCGCAATTAAAGCGTACGGGATTGTGTTAAAGATGTCTTCTAATCTATAGTACGGCCACGGTACAATTATAATACAGTATTGTAACTCGGCCGCATGATAGAAATAAATGCCTACAGCCGCGCGGTACTTAAACATGCGTTAGGGCTGCCCGTTTCCAGCATTTTAATTATATTTGCCTACTTTCGTGACTGTCTGCGCCCCGAGCGCACCCCGAGATCGAGGCGCGTAGGTATAGCTCCCGTTTCGTCCGTTTGTATGAAGTTGGAGTACTGTATTATAATAGTACCGTGGTACGGCCGCTGAGTTATTACCGATTTGACAGATTATTCTTAAATTAATCGATATAACCTTGCACGAGCGACACATTTGCCGAATGATTTAGAATACTTCTTTAATATAAAACTTTATATCAAAATGTCAGAATCAAGTAATTTTCCAATAAACTCTGTTTCAAAACTTAAAATAGTTTGTAAATAATATGAAAACAAAGTTACATCGTGCGTCTAGTTTTCATAGTGATGTGCTTCATAGTATTCGGTCCGAATTCATTGGAATAGATATGATATTTATTTTATTTGGATATTTTTATTTTACTAATTCATTCGAGCAACTAGACTAAATATAATGCTACCATTTTTTTGCGTCTCCTAATTGCACTGTGTTGCCAGTATCTTATGATTTTTAAGTTGTTTTTTGACTCGGCTTTCTCCTGTTTATCGTTGCGCTTTATTGGACTAATTTTGTTTGTGTTTGGTAATTTTGTTGAAAATGCCGAAACAAGGAAAAACATTGAATAGTCAATGTCGTGAGCTTGTACTAAAGCTACAGGATTACTTTGAGCGTGAGTCACAAAATGGCGGCCCTTTGATTCCTGTCACTCAAGTAAAAGATCGGGTTTCACAAGCTCTTGGAATTGGTGCAAAAACACTATATAATATAAATAAAGAAAAATTTGGTGCTTCTGGAAGTGAAGATAATGTTTTACGCACTCCTAAGAAAAAACGAAGACAAAAGCCCGTGACAGGTGTTGATGTTTTTGATGCAGATGCAATAAGAAACCACATATATGGTTATTATACTAGGAACGAGTTTCCAACTAGACGTTTGCTTTTGGTCTCTTTAAAAGAAGCTGGCTTGTTTAAAGGCGGTAAAACGGCGTTGTAAAAACGAATAAAAGGAAAATATTAATGGAAAGATTTGATTTAATAATTAAAAGGAGTCACTTTTAAGAGAAGGCAGAAAAATCGAGTCTTGGGACAACGTCGTTTTTGTTGACGAAACATGGTTAAATGCGAACCTCACTGTGTCACGCTCTTGGACTGACGAAACAAAAGCATCAACCTCAAAGGTTCCAATTGGAAAAGGATCGCGACTGATAATTTGTCACGCCGGTTCTGCTGGAAGTGGTTTCTTTGAAAATGGACTGCTGGCTTTCGCGTCAAAAAGTACTTCCGATTACCACGAGGAGATGGATACAGACACTTTTACTTTACTGCTTTATCTTTTAATTTCTTGTTTTTTTTTAAAATTTTCACATTGATCGGAATTTATCTCCGTGTGGTAATCATCTAGTCCCTTATTCGCTTACCATCGCGTAGATTACCATCCACCAAACCCTCCGTGCGTCCAATATGGGACACTACTAATCGACACTCGTCGCCTCTTGCATGAAGGCCTTTTTAATCGAGTGCTTAAGCGCTTCTAAGAAAACCTGATGTGATGTTTGTAAAATTTTAATGATACGCTTTGGAATATTTACTTACTTTAAAGCTAATCGTCTAATAAAGATAAAAAGCTACGATACAATAAACCGGCATCATACCGGTATCGGTAGGTACACCAGTGCGCAAAAGAGCGGGCATTATTTCGACATTTGCTTTTGTCAATTTTGCCTCAGAGATAAAAAACAGACTATTGTTTAAAAATACTATTTACTTATTCCATATTGATCTAAGTGGCATGCAATGGGTGAGGCCTATGTCCAGCAGTGGACTGTTATAAGCTAATGATGATGATGAAGTATTTAATTAATACTTTACGCAGCGGTGTTTTTGATACTTTAAATGATTTCTTGTTATTACACTTAATTGTGCAGTGTCCATTTTTTAAAACACAAACTATAGGACGCCATCAAAAATTTTAAGTGGAAATCTATAAAAATTGAAATTAAACTTTTCAAAATTAAAGTAGGGAACAAAAACTCTTCGTTCGTTAACGTCTCAGAACTATTGACGTTTCATACTTTTCAAGACGAAACAACTTTGTGTTGGCGTAACTCACACAATTTCAATAACCTTTTCCGTAAAATCATGGCAATATTTTTATTTTATCACATTATGTACAATTCTTAACGACCAAATGGTTATCTTTGAAACCTTCCGGTAAGTATCTTCCGTACGTCGATTTTTAGCCTTTTTCTTTCGTCTTGACTCCAACAGATGAGGCAGAGGTTTAAAACTTTATTTTAAACTTAAAAAAAAAAGGAAATACCATCGGCCACGATGGTATTTCTGGTTAGTTCTCGGTGTCACCAAATACTAGTCGCACCTTTTACATACATATTTAACTTAATGTACAGTTTTACCGAATGAATTCAAACTGCCTGAGGTTATACCTATTCATAAGAGTGGTGACTGTGTTAATAACTATAGACCTATTTCCATTCTTACTGACATTTCCTAAATTGCTGAAAAGCTGTTGAACAAACGACTTACAAACTATCTCGAGTCTAAAAATCTTCTGTCGAGTACACAATTTGGATGCAGAGCTGGCATCTCAACAAACGATGCTGTACACAAACTGACCGACCATATAGTACGCAAACTCGACCAGAGGAAGCAAGTTGTGGCGGTATTTCTGGATCTGGCCAAGGCATGGCTTCTGACCCTTGTACTCTCAATCTCAAACGTCGGAGACATCATATCTGTGACACAATGACCACTCAATGGACTAGTGTTCTCCATGAGATTCTTTGGTTTTCTGGAAGGATATCTTAACAATAAGATCAACAAACAGATTGACATATACTCCTATACGCGTTTTCATTGCAATAAAGCTGTCACATCTTAGCTCAAGTCCATCCTTTACGATGAAATGGAAAATATTTTATTATATTCCATCGAAATAAAACACTATACACATAAATGCGCTTTCATATTTTTTTATTATTATGCACACACATATAATATGTTCTAAACACATTTTACACTATTGCACACACACGCATACACACGCCCACACATACACACACTCTCATTTATGTACGAACATACTGCCACTAGGTAGTAGTTGTTATACACTCTCAATAATAACACTTACCTGACACTTTGTTTTTACCTATTATTATTATTTTTATTTATTATACTATTATTATTAAAAAAATTAAACAAAGCAAAATAACCAATATCCACAACAGATGTTTTTTTCCAAACTTTGTATCAAAGTCATGTAGTTAGGTCCTTTACCATAGTGTATAAACACTAAAATAATTAAAGCAGTTAGTGAAGATATAAGCCATCACCTTAGCCACATATTTAACCTATGTATTTCAAAAGCAATATTACCGAACGATCTTAAGCTTACAATTATTAAACCTTTATTTAAAAAGGATAATCTTTTATTAATCGAAAATTATAGGCCAATTGCACTGCTCTCAACGTTTTCAAAAATATTTGAGAAATATCTGTACGGCAAAATTAATTCCTTTTTAGAAAATAAAAGAAAAATGTGCAAGGAACAAAAAGCATTTCGGCAAAAGAAGACAATTAATATGGCAATTTACGAATTTATTTATTTATCACACGTTGACAAAAAAACTATGTGCAATCTATTGTGACATGACTCAAGGATTTGACTGCGTAGAACATAATATATTAATTAAAGAACTTGACGCATGTGGTATTAGGCAATGTATTTTTTCTTTTTTTTTTAATTTATTTAACACTTAAACAATGTAGGTAAATAACATTTTTGGTTTTTTGGTACTGTAAAATCACTAAGGTTTATAGTATTTGAGTGATATATTTCGATATTTTTCTTCTCTTTTTTATATTCGGGGCAAAAAATTGAATGTCACATTATAGCTAGAATAGCTTAGCATACGAGAGTAGACAAAAACATTTACTTGTGGTAGTGGAGATCATTTAAAAAATAAATATTAATTTAATATTAATTTAATATTCGTGTGGAGGTTGACACGTAAGTCAGTGGGTAGTTTGTTAATCAAACGAGGTAGGAGTTAGGCTGCCGTTCTTTCGCATACGTATGGTTAGCGCGCTTTGTGCATAACTGGTTTTAGGCGACCGCACGCGTGTATACAGTATGTTCAATTATTTTTTTTAATTTTTTAATAATGCATATTTCACTTGTGTTGGAACCGGTAATGTCTTGAAGTGTTTGAAAAGACCACTGTGGTCATCGTTGTACTGGTTTCGAATATTTTTGGGAACTATTAGACTTATTGAAATCATATTTAACTGATAGGCAACAGATAACAGAAATAACGAGAGTGAATCCTTTAACAAAAACTGAAGAAAGATATACCTCAGTAAAGCGTTGCGTTTCATATGGTGTTCCCCAGGGGAGTGTACTGGGCCCACTCTTGTTTATCATTTACATTTATGACTTGCCAAATGCCACAAATCAAGCAATGACATTATTTGCTGATGACAGCACCGTTACGATTGCTTGTAAGGACATTAACCAATATGGACTTGATATAAATAACTCAATGATATCTATTATTTCATGGCTTGACAATAACAATTTAAAAATAAATCTAAGTAAGACAAATATAATGCATTTTGACGAACGAAAAGTAAACCCGTTAAATATAAATGTTATTTATGATAGTTACACCATAAAAGAGGTTACCACTGCTCACTTTCTTGGATTAATTATAGATAGCAAATTGAATGTTATAAACTTGCACCAATTATAAATACCAATGCATTACTATCGGCATATTATGGGCTTCCATCCATAGGTGTGGAGAATCCATTCTTAGGTATGGTATCATCTTCTTGGCCAACTCTACCAATAAAGATATGGTGCTTAAAATGCAAAAGCGATGCATACGGGCTATGTTCGGCCTCCAAACTACAGAGAGCTGTAGGCCGGTATTCATAAAGCATAATATTGTCACGGTCCCATCACAATACATAATGGAAACAGCCTTATTCGTCAAAAACAACCAACACTTATTTCCACGTTTAGCTGATGTATATAGCGGTAGGAACATTCGACGTAACAACAATAGATTTTGTATTCATCCCGCCAAAACAACGCTATTACATAAAAGTGTCGTGTGCAAAGCTCCAATAATTAATCGATAATAAGATTCCCGAAAATATTAAACATAGAATTATTTAAAAAGACATTAAAAAAAATTCTAAGTCACAAATGTTATTACAGTGTAGATGATTTTATGAATGACAAAACTTTATGAGAAATGTAACATAATATTGGCTTGAACGAATTTTTAACAGACATTAATATCCAATAATATAGGTAACTTATGCAATGTACGGTCTGTGACATTAATTTATTTATAATTTGAGATGACTGACAATGAAATTAATAATTGTATTATAACTTATTCTTCTGGCAAAGTGTATTTTGAATTGTTATTGTAATATATGTAACATTTTAATGATAAATATTTGCACACCAATAATGTGGTAAAATGCAGCAGACAAATCTATATTTTGTAACACCTATAAATGTACCTGTGTTTGCAAATAAATTGATTTGATTTGGTTGCAGCTCTTCAAATGCACTTGTATATATATAATATATATACAAGTGCATTTGAAGAGTTGTAAAAAATAATCGTTGAAATGTACGATAAAATCGATTAATTAATAACTTGTCATTTTCAATCCAGGCGTCTTTAAGTGTTTAATGATACTTAAAAACGAAAACGCGTAAATAAAATTAAAAGTATGTAAGTTATTGTAATTTTAAATTAATCTTTGTAGAAGAAATTCCTCGTGTCCAGATCTAGTATATTTGTACTAAGATTTACAACAACATACATAAAGAACAATGGCAGGTCCCCATACATAATTTTTTTGAACTGAAATGGTAGCGTTTAAATATCAAAAATGCTTAAAACGTTTGAGAATTTATTCTTGACCATTCTTATAACAAAATTATCTTGTGCTTAACCGGACATCTCCAGGTTCGCACCGTACTAGTACAATTCGTACAACGTACTGGCACACCGTAATAGTACTATTAGTACAGTTTTAGTAGAAAACTTAAGCGTTTGTATTGATATTACTAACATTAATGAAACGGAATACCAAGTAATTAAAAAAAAGTGTTATAGAATTTTGGCAGACCGGCTTTTTGTTTTTATTTTTAAATATAAGATGGCTTTGTTTTAGGCAGTTACTTTTTTTCAGTATAGGAATAATAACACAGTTCTTGATTATTTTTAATGTGTTATCCCTTTCTGAATCCCATAAACCCTAACAGTTTGACTTTTAAATACGAATTTTTAGATTACTTCACATTAAACTTTTAAGCATACTATTTGATTTTCCTTCATACTTTACAACCCAACGTATTGTAGTACACCTGTATCGCAGTCCCTTTTACTCTCACACTGTTTACCAATACGCAACAATAAAGCGGAGCATTAATAGTACGTCGCACAACGAACGAACGTAGACACTATTAGACAGAGTAAGCAATAGGTAGTTTTAGTACTGGCTTGAAGTTGACACTGTGTACTAATAGTGCAAAATGTCCGATTAACAGATGCCTTTCGGAAACATTACTTTTAGTACAATACCCAGTACTAGTACCTATCAGTACATCGTACGTGTACTACCCAAGACTAGTGCCTTCTGCTGCGTCTCCACTTGAGGGCTCCAAGGAGGGTGGAAGGAAAAGGAGATGAACAACTAACTAAATCTCATGGATACTAAAAATATATCCGTTGTGGATGAAATGAAAAACCAAATATAAATAAATAAGCAATAATCAGTCTTCTTTTCCTATGACGCATGTCATCCTCTGAATTCTCGTCATAGCTCGTCTCTTGTTTCTCCAACACGTCTGATTAACTACACTCAAGCACAAACTGATCATCACTAAAATAGCTTCAGCTTGTTCTTCCGTGGACGGACAACTTATGATTCTCAGTTCACTGAGCTTAGTTTTTAATTAGTTTAGTCGAGGCGGTTGTTTGGCGGTGGACGTTACATTCCAGCTTTGCGTACAGCGCTGCCACAGCGAGAAATTTTATATTTACTAAGTTTCAAAAACCTTCACTAGCTCTCAAGACTGTAACGGACGTGAGTTAAACTACTCGACGGTTACAAAAAACAGCTTCAATGACGCTTGAAGCCTCGCCATTAGCTGTCAAATACAAAAGCTCTGTTACCTGATTCTGGGTCTCAGTGGCTTTTTTCCTGTTTAGAGGCATTTGACTCGGTCTTAAAAGATTAAATACTTTTTCAAAAATTTAATTATAGAGAGCAGCGATTTTTTTTGTTCTAAAGGACAACCCGCACTAGGAATTGAGGATTGAGCGATACTTGTAGCTGTTTGAGTTAGAAAAAAAAATGATCCAATGTAAGACACTTTTCCCTACTCACCTAATACAGAGATTAATAATATCTTGAATAAACTACATTACCCGAAATACTTATTCTACGCAAAACAAGTTGCAGGCACTAGCTACTTAACAGAAAAATAGAGAATAATCAGCAGATAAATAATAAAAACGTATGATACTTGACAACAAAATATTTTTATTATTTAAACCATATTTAGAATCTACAATAATATTTATAAAATAAGTACTGTTTTTAATCTAAATTACAGTTTAAGTCTTATTAGTACATCACAGCTTTCTATAAAAAGTTCGGTTAGTTTAATATTCTGAGTGTTCATTTCATTATATTTCGCCTTCTGGTCCATTCGGGAGAGCAGATTTTGAAGAACCGTTTTTGTAGTCTCCAGTGATGGGTGAGCAGGTATTGACGAATCGAGGTCCTGTCATAAAACATGATATATCACATCACATATCACATCACACATCACAATGTAAGCCTTTAATAGTCCACTGCTGGACATAGGCCTCTCTCTCCTCCTCCTATCTCTCTGGAGATTATTTGATATGTATAAAGTAATATTATAAAGAGACTTGACTGAAGAGTTTGTTTGTTTGATTGAACGCGCTAATCTCACGAACTACTGGTTCGAGTTGAAGTATTCTTTTAGAGTTGGATAGCCCATGTATCAAGGAAAGCTGCAGGCTATAATATAACATCACGCTACGACAACTAGGAGCCGAATATCAATTAAAAATGTAGCAAAAACGGCGAAAGAACCTTTTAAGGGACTCAGAAGAAGTTGCCCGGGTCAGAAAGGAAACGCACACGTAAATGAAGACTAGTACAAGTTATAGCTTTGATCGGCGAGAAAAAATATGGGTACGGGCGTGCGACACCTGGCCTATCTTATCTCGGGTCAATCAAACACAGCTGAAATGTGATATTTATTTTTGTAACACGATTTTTTTATAAAATATTAGATTCATTTAGCTTTGCTTACATGGCGTAGCGTGAATAATACTAAAAAAACGTTGTAAAAAGATGATATTTTTTGGTCGGGTTCAATACGAACTAGGTAGTAACTCTTCAGGTTCATAATATTACTATAGATATGCACATAAACCTGTTTTATTGATATTAGTAGATACTTACAGCGCTTCGAATGCGTGTAAAAAGCTGCGGAGGCAGCGAAACTATCCATTCAGGTTGGTTGGGCGAATGTTCCAAACTTCTTTTGAATCTCTGTGTTGTAATTGCCAAAATAGGGGGCAGTACTACATCTGGTTCTTCAAGTAGATAAATAATATTTTCAGCCACCAAATCATATCCTAGGTGGTACAATGTAATTAACTGTAAAAAAACGTCACAGTCAACTTCAATAAGTGTGTGTTTAACTAATTAAGTGTGTATCTAGCATATAGTGTTTCCGAGTCTGGGTATTACAGTGTAGACATTTTCTACATATAAATTTCGAGTAAATGAAGGCTTATAGGTAAATAAAGAATATAGAACATTTTAAGATATTAGCAAATTGAGTTAAAACACAGGCAAATTAAAAGTAGGTGAATCTTGTCATTAAAATAAAAAGTGCTTCTATAAATGCACCTACTCTTACCTGCTGACGGCTAACAAAATCGTTATCAATGCTCCACAGCTCTGACAGAAGCATGATTTTTTCGATCCAGTTATTACATTCTACACAGTTATATGTTACGTCAGAGACATCACTTTCAGATGTAGTGATCGTTTCGACCGCTGCTCTTACGACCTTAGTAATAAACTTCATTCTTGGATTTCTCAGTTTATCAGATGGTTTCATATTTATTTCTCTGCTTACAACGTTACCTCCTAGTGCTTCTAATATATAGTGATAGTCTATGTCGTAAAGACTATCAAGAGGTTTTGACATTTTCACATTAAAATGACACATGTAATATACAGTACAGGATAATTGTAGATTTAAATTTAAGATATTTTGGTCAATATTCTTAGTGTCTTGTGCAACCTCTACCAGGGAAGGATTACTCTCATCCCAAATTTTCTCATAGTTAATTTCTTGTTTCTTCTGGTCAACCGAAATATAAGAGCAGTTTAGAAAGGCGTCTAAATATGCTGTTGTATTTTTCAGAAAACAGATCATAGTTGTACTGTCAAAACCAGCGTCTTGAAGACATAGAGGGTCTTTAGGTAATCTGCCGACTTTATTCACTAAACGACAGCTTATTTCAAAAATATGTTTGATATAGGTGGACCATATAATAGAAAATAAACCCAATCTTATATGTAAATCAGATATACAAGTTAAACACTTGACAACTATATTAAGGTATTCACAAATTTGCATAGATTTCTGCCAAGCCATCGCGTATTCCCAACACATATTTGCAATAATAAAATCAGCTGAAGTACTCAACGGAAACTGTTGTCTTAACAAAGAGAGCCATTTAAATATCTCTGGATTTTCGTCAACATATTTACGGTTATTTTCTATGAATAGGTAATCATCGTCCTCGTCGGAGGATATGGATGCATCTACACTAAGGCTTGAACATTTCTCCATCAATTCATTAGTAACTACCGCTTCAGGAACAACCCCCATGCCACATAGCCATTTTGCAATTAATTCTGTTATAGAACCTTTTCCTCTCGTGTAGATGTACTTCAGATTTATATTGAATTCAGTCATCTTTAATTTTATTAATGCATTACCAGAAAAGGGTTCATTAAACATTAAGATTATGCTAAGTATTGATATATCCTCTAACTTTCCGATTAGTATCCCCCACTTAGCATTTTCTTTAGTAACAGATTCCCAGATATCCTCCTCGTTTTCTTGACATTTCGTTTCAAATATTTTACCCACAGCTTTACATGCCATTGCTACTATCATACTTCTTAAAGGGCAGGGCATATCCACTAATATATCACGTATGCCTTGCCACCAAAGCGATGTTTCGTTGTAAGCTATACAAGTAGCTTCTTCAGTGGCACGGCAGAGATAGTATAAAACTTTTATAAACTTTTCGATTAGGTCAATATTTATTTCTTCCAAAGGCATATTTACAAGTTGCATAATTAGCAGTTTGACAATATCCTTGGGGTTCATATTACAATCTTTGACGAAGGCCGTTAACACTGATATATCTGGCATTTTAAATATATATTTAAATATTACACATGCCAAGTTACTAATTTTTTCTGTTACAACATCGCTTTTTAAGGACATATGCTTGTTTTGTTCATCCATCTTAAAACATGACACAAATTCTTTGTAAATACTATTATCATTTTCAGCAAACGTAACTCTAGCTCGGTGATATTCTTTGTAACTACTTTCTTGTGCTAAAGTCAACAATCTTTCTAAAATGCAATTATCGTCTTCAAGAAGTTCAAAACAGATTTCATGCGAGTTTTCACCAATATTGTTTTCAGGCAAATCTGTTTTTACACTTGAAGTTTCAAAGTCGGCAGGTAGCCCAGTATTTTCTTCAGTCGCCGATATGCTATCATTATCTGTACAATTTGAGTAAGGATCCAAAAACGAGTGTATCTTGCCTTTTAGCTTTTGCATGTCTTCAGTGAATTCACCGCTGATATATCTGAAGAATAATGTTATTAAACCTAATTGAGCGAAATACATTTTGATTCCAAGATTTTCTGATTGCTTCGTGTTATCTTCAATACTATCCCAAAATAAATCTAAACAAGACATCACTATTGCTGGAGAGACTTCATATTTTCTTACCAACAAATCTAGGCAATGCTTTTTGAGATCCAATGTTTTCAATTCTGAAGCTTTTTTTAACAAATGATCTGTAAAAGTTTCTGAAGTAGGTGATTTTTTAAGATGTTCTCTCAAATCTCGAAGTATATGCAAATCCTTTGATCGTTGAGAGTGTTCACCCTCTAAAGCATAAAAGAACGGAATGGTAAATCTTTTCAGTTTACCATCGGGATCAATTAAGACGCATTGAAATTCAGGTAAATTAAGCTTTTTGTACGAGTAGTTTTTTTCTACTCCAACCACACCGCAGGTATTGTATAAAAGGAGGCCGTTTTTGGTTGCGGTAAATGCAGCCACTCTGTTTCCTTTTTGCATTAATCTAATATCTATAAGACCTTTTTTAGGGTTATATATAATCAAGAATATTGCTCGCTTGAATTCTTTTACAACTGAGAGTTGTGGTTTTTTGTCATTTACATCAAATATCTGTAAAAGTAATAATTTGAATTCTTATCCTAATGTAAATACTTATATTAACAATGACCCAATTTAGCACTACGTAGTTAATAAAACTACTGTAACTGTAAGTATACACACCTGAACAAATGCACACTGAGCATCTCTGTAACCCTTGAAGAGTCTGATCAAATGTCCCCGTAAAACGTCAAGAACAGCGACACGACCGAAGTTGTCAACTATGGCGGCAAGACGACGGTCAGGTGAGATGGCAACTACGTTGCCGTAACGCTGTGCATCATATAGGCCGTTACGCATCGATAAATTCTCGGCACGGACTAGAGGATCAGTTGCCGGGTTAGTATTCTCAGTATTCCCACCTCCAAGCCATCCACTTTACAGAAATAATATTAAATTAGTATACAATTGGATCGGGATTTCTTTAGTAAACATCTCCACCAAGATCAATAGCGAAAGGTGTGGGTTCTCGCTCGCAAGTTTTATCTATATTTAATCAGAAACAGTTTTGTTTATATCATAAGTCTAAGCACATATTCATCAGTAATTTAAGGTGAAACCACTTATATACTCATGTTTTTTTTTAAAAGCATGTCTAGCAGTTTTATGTAAAAGACGACCTAATCCAACATACTCGTAGTAAGTTCAGTATACAGTTTTAAGAAGGTGTGTATTTGCCAAAATTAATTAAATTATAGGATAATTACGTACGGAAGAGCTGATTTAATTTTATTTGCCACTGCTCTTGCAACGTCCTGTAATGGTGGCGCTGTTCCACCTTCGAGAGCATAATGGAAACCAACATAAGGTTTAGCGCCAGTTCCAAGAATAAGGGTATTAATTGGCGGAACTGATCGGTACCTGAAAAAGGATTAAGGTAATTTGTAAAATATAAAACGTAGTGCAATATTACAATGTTTATATCAATTAAATACAAATTATATACATACAAAGTAAAATATATTCATTTTATTAAAATTCTTGATATCATCTTATATTTCGCCATTTTAATTTGAATAATTTTTGGAATATGTAGATTTAATTGGATATAAATAGATATTTAAGTTAATGGCAAAGTTTTTTTTTGTTTTCAGTTGCCATAACAGTTATACGTGGAAAGGACGACTTGTTAATGTGCGCTACTGACAACCCCGATACGGCGGCGTATCTTTGTAAATTAATGTCATGTCATCGTGTTTATGTCTATTCAGTGTAACCGTTAAGAGGCTACGTAGCCACGGGCATACAAATACACTTAACTTTAATATCCCTCCTTTCTGCGTCGGTGTTTCTTAAAATAAGGTTTAAAAATAACTCAGAATTACATGATCATAAACTCAGAACTAAACCGAAATAGTTGATTCAAACGTAATGGTTTGAATCAACTATTTCGGTTTTCGTTATGTCATTGCGCCTTATACACTAAACATTATAGGTCAGTTTGTTGAAACCAAATGATCAGATGTTTCTTTACCATACTTCGTATCCTCCATATGTAGACGCAGCTAAAAGATGGTCATATGTATTTTTTAAATCAAGCCCCACAACGGCACCATCATTTATAACCTCCTGGTCAGTAAATATCCACTTTCGTATACTGATATTTCGGCTGTCCACTGTGTAGTCATCTTGCATACCAGCACGCACTTAAAGTCAAAATGGTAATAAATCATAATCTAAATTCTTCTAACTTTTCAACTTAACTACTAAATTCTTAACTGTCAAAGTACTTTTAAAAAGTCATCTTCTTTCACTCAATGGAAAAGGACTTGGTTGCGACAAGTTGTAGGCTACCCCCGCACGTTTAGAGGCTGTTTTTATGTTGAACGTGGGTTTTAGGATTCGGGTTACTTACGATATTTCACGTCCCTGGCATACAATATACTAAATCTTTATTTTTTGTAATATTCCAAAAAAGTGACAAACTAATGTTTTAGTATTCCAGTCAAGAATGATTTTCAACAACAGTTTTGCCTATAACCCTCTTATATCATAGCTTTTAGTCGACAGGGCCGTCTACATCGATTTAATTTCAACGGATAAGATTCCACATTATGGATAGACTGAATAAAAGCTTAACTAACTAACCTTTTGCTAACTGGGCCTTAGCACTTCTGAGCACCTGAAATAAGCTTGACCCTGAGATAATACATTCACAAGTTTGGAACAGTATATGTACATCATCTGGCAAAGTCCCATACGTTCCTGTATGGCAAGATATTTTCATCACAGGTTTGTCATCCAGTTTTTCAAGCAACAGCAAGTGGCCGGTATTCGTGTAGAAACCCACATTGCCATTTTTAAATCCAACAATAATGCAGAACCAATCAGGCCCGTTCTGTAAAATAATAGAACGGTGTGTAGGTATGCACATTTATAAGTTTTGTATTCACTGTAACATATAATGTAACATCACGATGTAACATTACCCTGGTAATGTTACATCGTGATGTAAAGGTATCGATATCCTTATGAAGGACATGAAATACTGACGTCATGGCAATAAAAAAAAATTAAGGTGAGGAAGGGTCAAATGGAAGTTAAAAGACAAGAAACAAATTCAAAATAATCAGAAGAGAATATAAACCAGAACGTTGGAATGTTTATAATGTTGTAACGTCACACACTGGACAAGTCAAGTGACTCAGCGTTTTAGCGGATTTATTTCTGTGTAGGTACCATTTTTTTTATACTACATAAACCACATAATTCAACAAAACTTTCGACACTTAAAACTGGATCTTTACAAACAGGACACTGGAACTAGAGAACCTATGCCAGAAGGTAGGAGGGTTGTTCAATAAACCACAGACCACCACCACACAGACAGCCTTCTTTGATGATTTTGATTGATGACGTTTCAATCCGAAGGAAACAGCCGCTCACGTTATTCTGGAGTGCGAGAGATTGGCCATACAACTACAAGTGTCCACACAGGTGTGAGGTCGCTCCTAGAAGCCTGTGAACACCCCCGAAGGATCTGTGGCTTAAAAAGGAACTGGTCTGGCTCAATATAAATCCGTTTTATGTATGTTTGTAAGGTCGTTCTTAAAGGGAGTAGTCTTTAAAAAAAATACCGCTCAGGTCTAAATGTATAAACAGAAACAGAACCCTTTGTTGATAACCTAGCCTAGAAATACCAGACATAAACCTTTGAGAACCAACTAATGTGATGAACGAAGTCACTGTACGATTCAAAATCCCCATTTTTTGTTTTTTTTTAATTGATCGTGTGGTGACGGATTAAGAATGCGGAGTGTCACCAACCTCTTTTCATTACATGGGTGTCATAAGAGCCGAACAGGGAGCAAACTGTGCAGAATAACAGCAATGCAAAGAGATAGCAAAACTTAAAATAAACCCTATACCAATCCGTCTGGCCAGCGTGATATAGTGGGCCAAAGCCTCCTTTTTAAGGAGATGCCTATGTCGAGCAGATGACTAGTAAAGGCTGTTGATAAGGTTGAAGCTCGATCGATCAGATCGAGGCAGTATTTCACTCCTGCTCACCGCCTACAATTCTATTAGGCGCAAGTCCGGCCTATCTGGAATAGTGTTCTCAACTCTATACAGGGGCACCGCAGTACCAGCTTCTACCTCTGGATCGCATTCAACAGAGAGCTATTCGAATCGTCGATAGTCAGAAGATCTCCGATCGGCTTGACCCCTTGGCGTTAGGTAGAGATGTAGCTTGACTCTACATTCTCTGTATCATGGAGACTGCCCAGAGGAATTGTTCCGATAAATACGGTCCGCACGCGGCAAAACTTTTGTCCCCAACACTTGGATAAATGGCACTCCTCCACAGTGCGCTTTCGAAAAACTGCTTTGCAGAACCAATTTGTCGAACAAATTGTCGCTGGCGCTATTTTAGGACCGATACGACCTTTAATTTGACGGCGTAGTGGTTTAAGCGGTCGCCACGCCTGCTTTGCGTGTAGTGGATTCGATGCCCACATGGGACGACACTGTGTGTGATCCACAAATTGTTGTTTAAAAACAAAAACCTTCAGGTAAAGAGCGTAGGAAAGGAAGGAAGGTGTTCCTTAAAGGCTGGCAACGTGTTTGTGACTCCTAAGTTTAAGGCGTTCTTGGCGGCGGTAGTCACTATTCATCTATCCATCTTTTCATAAGGAGAGCTATATAAGCTGTCTACTAAACTTAGTATTAAATAGACCTAGATAACAAACAGTTATGAATCTATGTAGAGCTTAGACCTTGACCGTTGAACAAATTTGTAACTTGAACAAAACAAATATAAATGTAGCCGTAAGTGTGTGGCATCATAATAATATTGTTTAATTTCTAACACAGTACATGCCAAAATTGACAACCTATTAGGATAGTACAAAAGCAGTTTTCAAAACTAAAAAAAAAGGATTGAAATGTGTGAAGAATTGTTTCAAGATCGAGAGAGGCTAACAAAATATTACCTTGACACACTAAGTATTTACAATTATTAGAATGTCAATTTTACAAAAATGTAACAATATTTCAAACCCCATAATTAAGTACAGAATTATATCAGATAGGTCATTTGAAGTAGTTAAGGCATACTATTCTTATAAAATGATAATTATCTTAGAACCATAGATATCTTTAATGGCACCCTACATTTACCTAATCATGTTATACTATTACAAGGAACAGTATTTACATAGATAACAAGCATTTTCCACATAGAAACCTTTTTTAGAAAAAATCAATGTAAAAAAACCGTCAACTACTAGTCGAACTCGTGCGCAGAGGGTTCCGTACCTACCCGGATTTTATTTTTAGATTTTCGCAAAAACTTGTAAGTTCCAAAATTTACCTTAAAAGCACAAGTAAAAGGAAAATGCCGAAAAATATAAAATGTTAAAAATTAAGGTAAATTTTGGTGCTTAAGTTTTCACGAAAATCTAAATTTGCCCATATCTTTTTATTGTGTTGACTTAGGACCTTGATTTACATACACCTAATAGGGACTATAAACCTCAGTATCTATTTAAAACTTCAACTTGCTAGGTCTTATTTTGATTGACCGCTTATTATGAGAATTGGCCTTCAAGAACGTGTAACGTGGGAGTCTGGGAAGTAGGCCGTCAAATTGTATACATCACATGCATCTAGTTTTTTAAATTCTCTGTTAGACAAAGAAATGTAGTCACCATAGTCCATACTTCATTTCTTATTCAAAGTATCAGTTTTACAGTAAAATGTCAATCTAGTTGCAGTAGTATAAAATCATATTTTGGCTTTATCTTTGTTATAGCTATCATAAATAAGTATAGAATTTACATAATCATATTATTTTGTTCTGTCATAACTTCATAACAGTTAATGCTTTGTAACAAAATGGCTAAACTTAATACAAAGAAGTAAGTCCCTTCAATCAATATTTACCTGAGAAGACTGCTGTGACGGACATATGGGTAAAGTTAAAACTACTGTAATATCTGATGGCAATGTGCCGCTCCATGATATCAGAAAGGTGTTACTGTCAGTTGAACTGATCCATTGGTTAGCTAACAAACAAAGACGACTTTTGTAGCCAACTGCCAATAAATTACCGCACGATGACAGTGATATAGCACAATCAGGCAACCAATTCGCATCTGAAATTTAATTCAATAATAAGTTTCTTGAAATACAACGACAATATTAAACGGATACAATTACAAATTATATCACACCTTCGTTGTCTGATATAAACAAAGATCTTCCTATGCTAGATATATCTCCACAATCTGCAATTGTTTCGACTTGACACGACATTTTAAAGAATTATTAAGCGCCGAAAATTAATATGATCAAAAAAAATTAGACACTTATTAGCTAAACACTGCACCAAATATTTTTTATATAGGAGTGATCACACTTTACAGAGAAACACATAAAACACCAATACCCACTATATTAAAAAAAAAATTTTTATTCAAAATGTACATTGTGATTGTACACATCTGACATAATAATGTCAAATATAATTTTTTTTTGGAATTTAATGACCTGGTAACTAAGACCTTTAAGTCAAGTCTTATTTTATTTGAAAAAACATTGCACTTTCACTTTACTTCATTTTAAATTGTTTTAATAGTGTTTTTAATATATTGATATATTGGTTTGTAAGTGTTTGTCTTTTAATAACTGTTCTAGTGGCGGCGGGCGGGATGAACTATTACACTTTCACAACACTGAGTCAGGCGGTACAATCTTAGTCGACAATAATGGGAATGTTACGAAAATAATGAACCCAAATACAATGGTTTTTTATTTGTTCTAAAATTTTAACAACAATACGTACACTTCATTTAGGCGTATAATACGTGTGTACTTCGCCAGTCGATACTTATAGATGTCGTTACTTTCGGTATAATCCGCATAAAACAAAAAGTGAGTTGTTTTAGTTTTAATTATCCCGGAACGTATATCACTATTTTCTGGAATCATTATAAAATGACTTTTGGAAATAAAATGTTGCCATTATTTTTTTTATACATTGAGTTGGTAGTTATTTTGTATGATAAAGTTGATAAATGTAGACTTATATTAAAATTTTTGAAAACTTTAAAAAAAATTTAGCACTTTAATACACACGATTCTAAGAAATCCTAACTTAGTGCCTGTATCATTTCATTATTGCCATTGCTTTGGTACTTTTCATCAGCGTTAACGCAGCAACATTTGCAACAGCTGTCGTTATGAATGTTGTCCGTCAACATGACATTCATAACGGCATTTTTTTGGTTGTTGAATGTTTACTTGCTTGAAACTAATAACAATTATTCTCTGATATCTTCATTAATGCGTGAGTTGAGCCTAGGTTCTTCTGATCTTTGTTATCCATGTGTGTTGTTTTCGAGTAGTATTGAGGTAGAGACACTTATTTTTAACGCTTTATTTTTGTGTTGCAATGTCTGTTAAACGTTGTTGTCTTGAAAAGAAGAAAATAAACGTTTTTTTATACATTGTTTTATTTTACAAAGTTCTAATTGCATAGGTATATTTGTACATAATATAAACAATACTGTATACAATAAGTATTACCTATATTATAGATATAAATTTATCCTTTCAAATTTTGAGTAAGAAAAAAGTTGTTGCCCGCTCCTAACAGATGGCGTTGTTTTGTAATTTCCTCCAAAAGCGATTGAGATATACCTCTATTTCAGTATATTACAATGTACTCTGTGCACTGAGTTCACTAGCCAACACTAATCTGTCAAGCAAGAATCAGTGTAACCGTTTACGGTAGATTTTCTACTGCAGCAGTAGATTTCCAATGAAAATTTGACCATGCAGTAGTTTTCAAACATCTAGTAGATTATTGCGTCAAATCTAATGGTCCTGGCTGAAAGGACTTGTGTCCAAGCCTATAAATAATGTTGGAAGCAATGGCAGCGCGCGCGCGTTAGTATTGTTTGTAGCAGGGGCTTCCCCCGACTGTATACTTTTAAGCCCAACTTACACGGAATTTGCATTCTAATGTTTTGAGAATAGAGTATATTTTAATTATTATTTTAATTACGATTCAGAGTATCGTTTAAACAAGTTTAAAGGGTAATTTCCCTTTATATTGCCTTATGACAATATGTCATTCTCATACATAATTCGTTCAGATCTCGTGGCAATCGGATGCAACACGCAACACGTACTTATGATTAGAATTAAACGTAAATTTGAACAAAACTATCGCGCTGAATGGGAACAAAACCCATTATTTGCTTCGTGGCTCTGTAAAGATGTGAACAGTAATAATCATGCTTTCTGTAAAGCTTGCAGTGTTAAAATTTTAAGCAGATTAGTGTCTATTAAAGAACACAGTGGTAGTAGCAAACATGAAAACAATATGAAACATTACAGTGGGCGTTCAAGGGTATGTATATTTGTTTATATTATCGGAGAGTTGATAACTATTCTATTATATTATTAATTTAATATTTTGATTTATATTAATCGAAAATTTAAATTTTATTTTTTATTATTTAAACATTTTAATTCAGTAAAACAATAATAAGAATCAAAAACTTCCAAGTTTTAAAACTGGTTTATTCAAGTTTGCATTCATTTTTCTAGAAAACTTCCAATGAGGTATACTATGCTAGGCCAAGATGGTTTTGTTTTGTAAACACAAAGTTTTAAAACCATCTTGACGATCACCGTGGCAGAGTGGTTTGTAAACCCCGGTTTCAAGGCGTCGCCATATCCAGAGGTAATGGGTTCAACTCCCGGTGGGGGCAAATGTTTGTGTGATGAATACAGGCATTCGTTAGAACAAATCTTCTTTGAAAGGTCTTTGGAGGCGATGAAGTTGTTAGTATCGAAAATAAGCAAGTGGACTGTACATCGTACTGGTCTATTATATTTAGAGGAATTACAATGTTAACAAATAATACAAATATTTAATATGAGCGCGCGACCTACGCTTCGCTTCACGATCGTCCGCGGAGTGTCGGTGGGTGCGCGCGGCCCGCGCATATATATATAAATATATACTTTATGTATAGGCGCGCCAACGCGCGCTGTGTGGTAGACAGTCTTTGATGTTTATATAGGTGTTGAGTATATTATGAATATTTGTATAAATATATCTGTTATGTATATTTATCCGTCATCCAGTATCCACAACATAAGCGGCATAAGCTCCTTACTTTGGGCTAGTTGATAGGTGTCATTGTCAGAAGATATTTATTTGTTTAAAATATAGTTATTTTATTGTATTCATTCTAGGTATCTAGATGTTTTATTTATTGTGAATTTAATTTTGTTCCAGATCACAACTTATTTTAAGAAGGGCCTTTTATCAGATGAAAAAACGAGCATTTCACGATTCATATATAGCAAAGGCATTCACATGCAAGCGAAAAAAAGCAGCTCATCTTATATATGACGCTATAGCACCAACATTCGAAAAAAAACTATTCGAAGATGTTGTTTCATGTAAGTCGCCTTCAGGGAAAAACATATTTTCTATAATAATTGATGATGTTAGCACTGACAAAATTCTAGCTGTAGCAGTTCTGTATTACACCACACACCATAAATGTGCTGTGACTAAATTTTTATTTTCTATTACTTTAGAAGGAGAATCTTCACAAGATATTTTTGATGCGTTATCGAATGGCTTAGAAAAAAATAATTTAATTATAGCAGACGTACTTGGTTTTGCCGCGGATACAACTAATGTAATTTTTGGTACTAACAGGAGTGTGGTGTCAAAAATATAGTCTATTAATCCTCATTGCATTTTTGTAAAGTGTGTATGTCACTCTGTTGCGCTATCTCTAAACTATGCATGTAAAGAACTGCCTCGAAATATTGACCACATTGTTAAAGATGTTCACAACTATTTTAGTCACAGCAGTAAGCGACAACGAGAATTTTCCGAATTTCAAAATTTTGTTGACACCGAAAATCACCATTTATTGCGACATTATGAGATCAGATGGCTTTCTTTACATGCCTGTGTAAATAGAATAATTTAACAATGGGACGCTTTGAAATTGTATTTTAATTATAAATATTAGATCGCAATCTTAATGCTGAATTTTTAAAAGTTAATTTTGATGATAATGTATTAAAATTATACTTTTTGTTTTTGGATTATGTGTTATCAATTCTTAATAAATTTAACACAATTTTCCAATCGGCATATAGTGCCGTCCATCGATTATATAGGGATATGATATGTATAAGGCCTTACTGAGTTGTTATATGAAAAATGGATACATAACAGCGACTGCTATAGAAAATATTGATCATAGCAGTGAAATAAATTTGCTTTATATTAATCAAATGTATTTGGGTGTAAAAGTAGCAAAAATTAATTTTAAATATGGGTAGGGTTCATATACAAAGAATTTTTGAGGAGTTTTTGAGAAGGTCGCGGTTATTTCTAATTGAGCTATGCATGCAATTGAAAAAGAGACTGCCAATAGAACATCATTTGTTTAGGGAGTTAATATTTTTAGACCCCCTAAATAGCAGCGTATGAGCAGTTTTCTAGTCTCGTATCACTGACTCAACGGTTTCCTAATTTAGTGTGTGACGAAATTACACAACAATTAACTGACGAAGAGTATCGTCAGTTAAAATATGACAATTACGTACAAAATTTACTGGCGTCGTCCAGTGACTCTGCAGTGTCACAGGATACTGATAAGTTTTGGGTGAGCGTTCATAAATTAACAGATAGTAATAATAAATTGAAATATGATAATATCTGTAAATTCGAAAAAGCGATGATGTGTTTGCCCGTATCGAACGCTTCTTGTGAGCGTATATTTTCGCAAGTTAATTTAATTAAAACTAAACATCGTAATCGCTTTTTAAATACACACATATCATCGCTTTTAAACACAAAACAAGGGATAATTGATAGTGGAGAAAATTGTACAAACTTGGTACCTGATTCTAATATGATTAGATTAAGTAAGAATTGTAATGAAAATAAATATTCTCAATCTAATTAAAATAATAAATCATGTTTTATTTCAACCACAATGTTCAAATGCACCAAAATGTAGGTTGGTAGAATTTCGGTAGATTTTTTTTTTCACTTCAGTAGATTTTTGTAGAAAAACTTGCCGAATTTAGTAGATTAGTAATATTTTATAACGGTCACACTGCTCATCACTACCTTTTGTTCGGACTTTTTGGCGGGAATTAATTAAATATATAATTGCACGGAAATACCACATTTAAATAACAATGGGTGTCTCCAGTGGCGGCGAGGAGCCGCCAAAGCATGGGGAAAAGAAAAGAAAATACCTCAA